AAAGGACATTTCACTTAAATGATTTTTACAAAATTCAAAACTTATTTATTGTGGCTCCCATCCATCATTTTCAACAGAAACAGATAAATCTGTATCCTATGTGAACACTATTTGGAATGTCATCCAGCTGACATCTTGCTAAATGTGATTTTATGGCTATCAGACACCAAGATACCATTACCTTGTCAATCTAACTGGACTTAAACTCTACTGGGATCTGACTAAAATCAAGGGCAGAAAAACTCTACAAATAATTCAAGCACCCTCCGCAGCTCCTGCCACTTCCTAGCCCTTAATTATACTATTACACCTCCACTGGCAGCTCCTTCAAGCTGGAGGGGTATCAGCCTCCACTCAGCACATTTCTGACTCCTGCATCATGATTGCTCCTAAGCACAGTCCAGGAGCAGATGTCACTGGCAGCCTTGTCCATTCATATTACAGACTCCTGGGTGAAAGGCGCAGTCAGAAGTTAAGCAGAACCCCTAAGACCTGCTGTATTGCAAAAGCTTATTATGATCCCCATTTATAGAAGGCTCTCAAGGCTAAATTTAGGTCATTTCCACTATGACTCATTACCTTCCCTTAGAATTTTTCATACACTCTTTTCTCTTCTACATCAGACACTTCAGATGTCCTGTTTTCTGCATAATTTAATATTTGATTACAGTAAAAGAAAGCACACATTGTCTTGAGGAACAGAAAAAAACATCATCTAGGGATATTTCTAATGCCAAAAGTAAATTAATCTTTCACGGCACAATAGAGTAAGAAGACAGTCCCAAAAGTATATAATTAAAGAGTAATTCTCTAAATGAGGTACTTCTTTTCTTTTTAGTCTTGTTTAAATTGTTTTGAAAGTACAGCAGTTGATTTATAGCAGGTATTTGGCAAAGATGCACTCCAGGGGGAAGCTTTCTAGAGAGGAAGAGACCCTGATGTCATGTCTAGCATTTACAAACAGGGGTAAAAGTTATACTGCCTGAATAAGAGGCCAGAACTGTACAACAGGAGATGGAAAACTAGCTTCTCAAGAGATTTTTCTCATTCAGGTAATTGCCTTTGTTCAGTATTAGGTAAGAATTTTCCTGCAAGTAGTTTTCCAAACTGCTATCAAATAGCATATGCAGGGACCAGTGCAACCAACCTGCAGAGATGACACTGTATTTCCAAGGCAACTGGAGACATACAATACTTGAATGCTAAATCACAACATTTCAGAAGCAGGAAATCCACTGTGATGTTTTTATTAAAGAGATTATTTGCAATTCCAGCTCCCTTGAATTACAGTCAGGAACTTTACACACCAAGCAGAATACCACTGCGGTAGTCTGCTCAATAGCAAAGAACTAAACAGTGCCTGCTTAAAAGACTCCAGCTGAATAAACATTAAGATGGAAAGTGATTAAATTTCCTATGATGAAAGTTTGCTAGACCAACCTGTGCATTCTATACACAACACTGGCAGCCTCCACCCAATTATCAGCCAAAATGCATGGAATATGATACATATGGAATGATATTGATCCAAAAATGAGGAAGCAACTAATTTTGTCTTTGTTCTTGCTCCATAACACAAGATCAGTGTCAGACACTGAACTTATGTTCCAACACACCCAATGTGTTCAAGGTTTCCTGTAGTGCAGCTGTAGAGAACATACCTTTGTACACAGAACAACTTTTTGAAGTATTAACTGGCCACTGAATCATGCCAGGCTGGGCAGCAGACTCTTGCCCAACTGCCACAAACAGCTGATTCAACACGTCGCTGACCCAGTAGAACAATTAACTCCTCCTTTTGCAGAAGTCAACTTTTTCCTGATGCTGTCTGCTTTAACTGACCTCCCAGCAGAACTAAAAGGTCTCATGCTTAGTAGGCACCTCTAGCTCCCCACTCTTGGGTCCCCCAAAATTGTCAGTGCAGCCCAACATTTTCACCAGGCCTATCCCATAGCATGGAGGGTTTGAAATAATAAAACAATGACAGATGGGAAAAATCATCCAAAGACTCACTTTAGCCTGTCACAGGATGAGTGGGAGTTTTAAACAAGCCCTGCCTTAGGCTCAGATTTTGACAACAGTTTAAATTTAAGAAATCACTTTGGCAAGTTCTAAGGATGGCAGATCAGGTCCATTTATAAAAATGAATTATTTATTAAAGAGACAAGAGATCCTAATCAGAATTACTTAGTAATAACGCAGTATACACAGTATAAAACTAAAGAACTACTAGTAGGTTACAGTATAGCATTTAACGCTGCACTATGTGAAGGTATCTATAGTTAAGATACCAGAAGAAATAGTATTGATTAGGAGTTGAATGTAACTTACTGCCGAAATGTAACGTACACGGATTCCTTCACTTAACTCCTGGAAAGTAACTGCAAAGCAGGCATCCCTACTAATAGCAAAAGCTCCATACATATCCAGGAAAATGTATAGAAGATTTCTGCTTTGTGAAAGTTTGGTGTGGCTTTTGTATTTTGAAAAGTGAGTGTCTGTCAGTCAGAAATCCAACCTATCTTGCCAGATCTCTTCAACAGATGTTGGCAGCTGGGAGATGCCAGAGCAGTATTAACCCCAAGGCACAGAAATAACTCTCTACAAGACAGCTTGTTCTGCATGAGTTACCTGACTGTTTAATAACAAAAGTTCTTGTAGGGGGTGAGATGTCCTGCTAGAAGCCAAAATAGTTTTCTCTCTTTTGATATGACAAACCAACATGTACTTACTTGATCCATCATGAATCCTTTCAGTTAGCTTTATTGGTCAAGAACTCACACAGAACTGAACGTATCAGAGAAAAAACAGCTTTTAAGTTTATTTTAGCTTTACCTTAGAAGCACAAAAACTATGAAATCTGAAGTAAGTGCAGGTGAAACTGATCAAGTGCTACTCTGTACTTTTCTGATAGGCTTTGCAACTTTACAGTTACTTCTTAGGCAAAATTCTTCTTCAGGAGAAAAGCTTTTGGGTAGCTGAATATTTTAGACTCTAATATCAGATGTTTTCTATGATGTAAAGGCTTCTTAGGAAGAAGCGTGTATCAAAGTCAGGTCTGTACATTTCTTGGTGAATCTTAATGAGCTAATTTAGACTTCAGGAACATAAAAAGGGTAGTCCCTGAAGCCCAAATGAAAGAAACTTTGGATTTAGAGAAGATTTTGATTAGATTTTCGTACAGTGATTTAAAATTACTTGCATAATGCAAAGAGTATACCAGGGTATAATGCAGTATGATTGCTGATGATGGCAGACTAGCAAACTGAGCCAAAGAATGCTCAAATGCTTTAGGGAATTTAAGGCCAAGCTGAAGTAAAAAAAATTCTTCTTGAAATTATCATATAACTCTAATCTACAGGCCACTTTTCTATATACATGTATTGAAGTAATTTGACTTTTTCCTCCTGTAAGCTGACAGCTTATTACATTCTTAGCATATAACATAGAAAAGCTGCTTAAAGCTAATGAAGAAGGGGTGTTTTAAAAAAAAAAAATACAGGCATGGCATGGCAATAACTCAAACATCATGGTGAAACAACCCTTGAGCTCACTGGAACATTTCATTTACTAGGAATCAAAGCAGCTTTCCTGATCAGTGTAGTGAAGAATGGATAGAACAATATACCTGAGAATGTGTACTAGCTGCTGAAAACGAACAGCTGCAAAGCCAGGCACTAATTCTTTTAGGTGAAACGATGTATGCAGACTATGCTCTGAACTACAAACTTCCTACCCTTCTGTTATTCCACTTGCTCTATGTTCATTAATAATTTGCACCAGTTTTTATTTTTTCCTCAACTGTCTGTATTAACACATTGCTATGCTTTTGACAGATCTATTCTTTTTATGATTGTTTTGCATATGTAGTCATGCAGAGTAAGTCCTAGCATTTCTAAACACATAAAATTTTATTCCAGTGTTATACAGATCTGTACAGTGGGGAAAAAAAAAATCATTCTTCAGATTGCTAGACCAATTGCTCAGAGGATTTAAGAGTACTATGAATATACATAAACTAGAAATCCAAGTTTCCTCAGCAGAAATTATTTTAAGGTGTACTTACATAGGAATAAGGTACTTTAAGAAGAAGGTATTGTATTAGAGGTACAGTATTTTCCAGTTTTACAGATAGACTGCAGTATATACCATTGTTTTAGAATTTAGTATGTTAACTAGTTTAAACAGTACAATTTGATGGCAAAACAATATATTTTTTACTTTCAAACTCAAGTTATTAAAAAGCAGAAAAATAACTTGGGAGTTCTCTTTATTTTTCTTAAGGAAAAGATGCTTATATTGAATTTAGTCAGCATATATTATAAAGAGATTACATTACTGTGAAGACATTCTGAAAGATCACTTAGATCACTTCCTTTGGATCGACAAAATAGAACACAGTTCAAATGAAAAATATGGATTTGTTAACATTCAATTGACTTATTTAACTTACCTGTTAAATTGCTAAGGCCTAAAGAAACTTCTAGAGAGCTCACCTTTGAAAGGTCAGATACATTTTATTCCCCCTTGCACTTAAATGAAACCATGCACTTCAAATTCACATAAAATAAGCATAAAGACCTACTGTTGACATTTAAAAATAAAGTTTCTGTATGTCTTGAACATGAGAAAAGCTTACTTTAAACTATTGCATTGTGAAAATGAATTAAGAAATTAACCAGTTTCTAATAAACTATGAATGTGTAACCAAGGGAAATTGCCAATGTATGGAATTCATAGTTAATAGATTTGTTAACTGAAGATATGAGTTGGCACACAGACAACTTCAAGTTCTGAAGCAATTCCACTGAAAGGAGTCAGACTCCTATGGGTCTCAAGGTAAACAGGTCCCTAACAGACTAAAACAGGACTGAAGTAGTCTGGTGAGCTGAATTCACAGCAATACATTTTTCTTTACAATATCCGACCCCAAGCCTGATGTGGATCCAAACTGTAAAGCACGTTAACTGATAGCAAACACAAATCTCTAAATCACATGGGTTTTTTTCTACCCATTTTATTTTTTTTTTTGTTCCAGAATGAAATAACAAGCTGAGCAAAGGAACCATGACATATGAATTGCATAACAAAGATTACCAGAGAAAGATTTTCACATTTTCTCATTATCCAAGATATTCAATAAACAGGATAAACTACAGGAACCACTTTCAAATCACAAAGTTATATACAGAAATGATGTCTAATGGAAAAATACAGTGGCTCTACATGATCCTAACAGATTTGGTGTCACTGACTGACATGGAGAACGAGGCCACTGCTATTTCTTCATCTCCAGGACTGCACTTCCTGGTCCCCGGTGTTTGGCACTGCATATATTGCAGAACTGGACAGAAGATACCTAAATCAAAAAAGAAAACAGGAATCTCTTGGAGAAATGTAGCTACATCAGAATGTGTGAAGGTGAATGAAAAGTGCTAATGCCCTTCTCAACATTACTGCTCACAGTCAGGCTGTTCCCAACTAACATAGTCATGGATAGGTGAGGGAAAACAATATAAAATAACATAGTAAGGCAGGCTGTTCTGGAGTCAGGGGACACAACTCACCACTCACTCCAAGGGTATTACCACCACCTGCCAGAAGAGTAATGTCAAATTTCCACCACACCAAAAATGAAAAGTACACAGTGAAAAGCATCACTGCTTATCTTCATATAGAAAAATGAGAGTAAAGGCATTTGGTCAGCTCCAATAACCACTGGATGCCTTAGTCACAGCTCTGTCTTTGGGTAGTGCTCCACAGATTTCCTACAATTGAGCTCAGGGCCCAAATATTGTCATTTGACATCATAGGTATGTTTATTGTGTTTAGTTCTGTGTGCATTTTGCACAAACACTATTTTCCTTTCAGTAGGTCACCAGTAACCAAATATCAGTAACATGACTGGTCACCTAAGGTCACATAATACAATGTAACAGGGGGAATTTGGTTTTGTTACATGCAGACACCCCTGTATTTGTACATACATTATATATATTAATATATAACATATAATAGCAATATAACATTTAAAAATCCCACCTAACCAGTCACCTGCCCCAGAAAATTGAGAATGCTAGACAAATTTTAGATTATTTTTCAAAATAAAATTTGTGGTAAATATTGAAGAAATATTTACTAGTTGTTGGGCTTTCTTGTACAAATGATATAATACATTAAGCTTTTCATAACATATTTAAGTATTCATGCTGCACCATATGGCTACAAGCACTTTGTTTGTTTACTTAAAGATGAAGTGATTCACTGAAGCTATTTTTTCATTACATGCTAATTTTCAGAGAAAGATACAGAATCTTAAAGACTTAAGTTTAATTTTCTATGTGATTTTGTTACCATTCAAATGCTTCTGTTCCTAAATTGAAACCCTGTAATATCTAGAAGTTACTTTTTTGCTTTGTGTTAACTGAACAAACAAACCAACCCCCCAAACAATTTATAAAGAAAAACATGTTTTGGCCATAAGGATGATTACAGAGAGATTTAAATATTCACTCTGAAATTACTGAGTTTTGTCTTCCAGGTCAAATAATTTATTATGGTTCACTTGAGAAAATAGCTTTATTCTTGTCCTTGAGTATGTTTAATTAAAGTTATAGCTGGAAAAGCATTAATTAAAAAACTAGACAGATTGTATTCCCTCTGTGTCTCAGAGCTGCATTACATATTCAGATTGCAAAAAATGATAAAATACTGTTCAAACAGCAGGGATTTCCTTCTACATAGAATGAAATTTAGTTGCAGTATCCTTAAACTCGCTTTCCTTGGACACATACTACTAGGTAGTATCATCACCAGTTATTACTATCACCATACAATTCCTCATAGACCAATGCCCTTCTTCACAGCTGACAAAAGAAAATGTGTCACTTTATCTTTGGCAAAGATAATTACGACATAGGAAGCTAATTCCTTACTGTATTAGATACGGGTAGGCACTCTCTGTGAAACATGTGTCTGCAATGGAACACTACCACACTGAAGGACTTGGACGCATCTGGGAAACAGAAAAATAAATTAATTTCAACAGGGCAATGAAACAAATGATTTAGTGGCTACAGCAATATATCCCTACCTTCTATTATACACAGAGAAACTTCAAGTAACATCTTTCAAAATAATTTCCAAATTATTCTGGCTCTTTCACAGAAACCATTAAGAGTGATGGTTTCAGGTAATGTGTGCCAGTGATGGAGTTACAAAACAATTTTATTGTGTGGCTTAAATGTTATATACCTTTCCATCAGGAATTTTTCATCTCAGTATATGCTACATGCTAAATTTGAGCAGAGAGAAAAGTAAAACTACCACCAAATAATTCAGCTGCTTTGAAGAAAAGTTAGCAGAAAAATTCTTGCACTAGTGTGAAGAGAACCAGAACCCTGAGAAGTTCTAGAGTGTGCACTGCATGCCATGGTCCTGAAATTTGGCAACAAGCTGCCTAGGGGCATGACGTGGGTTTTCATTCCCACATGAATATTCAGCCAGATTAGAACCCTAAATACAACATCCACACGTCTAAAGAATAACCATTACACTCACGAGCATCATTCACATTCTACTTTGGCTCTTTTTCCCTCAACACTCATACCTCAAAGCACTAGCACATTCAACTCTGCAAGACTTTCCTTGTCTGTATATTGCTGTATGTGATCCCAGTATAGTTATTTATTTATTCAAGTGAAAAATGGTAGAAGCCAGATAAACTGTAAGTGATTCTGTCAGGCTATAAACACTTAGAAAACAAACAAATGTCTGTACATATGCTTTGTCTTACGTATTCTTGCTTTAACAGGCCATGACAGATATTCTCTTAGTAAAACGACTTCTTTTTAAGACACCCAACAACTACATCGATATTTCTGTACTACAGTTGCCCTGAAGAACATACATCTCCAAAATAACATCCTGAATTTCTAGTTTCACAACTAACTTTAGAAGGTGTTTTAAAGCTAGTTGGTTTTAAGATGCTTCAAATATGGCACCCATGACTGAAGCCAAGAATATTCAGACAAAAAGTACATTCCATAAAATTTATAATCTACAAGTTCAGTGTGAATAATCCAACAGAGGTGGACAAGATTTGGAGGCAGCATCTCAGTTTTGTGGTTCTAATAATCTTTCAGAATACGTGTGTTGATAGAATTAAAAGTTGCCTTGAATTCCATATATTAAAAGCAGAAAATAAGGAAGTCAAAGTTGAATAAGAAAGAATATCTGGGTTTATTGCAACAAAAAATGTTCAATTAGACTCCACTCCAATGTCAGAATTCAAAAGCAAACTTTGCATAGGAGATTGAAATTTATACATTGATCACCAAGGAAGATTACATGTTTTTATGAATGAAAGTGAACAGTAGTTCCTCTTAAAATACTACTTTAAAAAAAAAAAAACAACTTACAACCTTTTTTTTTTTTTTTTCTAGGAAAGCATCCTACCTGAAGGAAGTATTGGAGACAGACATGATTCACAGATATTCTCCTCTGGAAAACAAAACAAAAGAAAACCAAGCTTTGTTAACAAACTCCATGATTACTTTTTAATAAAGCAGGCATGAACATACTGCTATTACAGAAATGGAGCTTGATCTTAAAGCATTTACTTAAGATGCCTAACAGAATCTATTAAAAATTAAAGAGCAATACTGAAATAGCATTTCTAATAACAACATGATAAATATTTAGATCTGACTGCAGGATTGAGGCTGTTTAGGATCAGTGCTGAAGAGAAAAAAGGCAAACTGAAAAAAGGGGCATGGGATGAGTGGCTGCTAAGTGTATAGCATTTTGGAGCAGAAGCCCTGGCCCTCTGTACTGTCAGCTTTTGTCTCTTGCTATTAACACTCAACTGGTGTGAATTACAGAGCTGCCCACATGCATGTTTTCAGCTGGTTCTGAAAACCTTCTTGTATCTTTTGCTTTATTGCAGATTATTAGCATCTGACTGTTCATGTTGGCACTAAACAGCATTTTCACCTTCACAGACCAACTGCAGGACACAAAGCATTACTGGCTGTGCAGAGACTGATCAAGAGAAACAGCTGCATGCTGGGTCTTGTAGTTTTTGAGACACAAGTAGTTCCTTTGTAAAGGGGAAAAGCATCTAATATCCTACTACACTCTACAAATAAGGTAAAAAATGCAGGCTTTTGGGCAGCTTCCAAAGCAGACAGTCAGGGGGCATATAAACCAAGCAGTAGTCTTTAAAACCTTGAAATTCATCATGTTTCATCTGTACCCACCATCCACTAGAACACCCTTCATCTGAGTTCGATGCATTTTCTTCAATAAAGAAAGAGAATCGGCAACGAGTATCTTTTTGCAACCTTCCCGCAGCAAGATCTGTTGGTGCAAAGAACATAAAAGACGGTGGTTGTTGAACAGATGGGCATATCAACTATCTTGACAAGTCACCACTGTGTTTCTGCTGCCAAAGTGAGTGCAAGGAAAGTTTAAAACTTTTCAAGGAGTTATATATAAGGGAGGCAAAGGAGGAATCTTTTGTTGCCATCACATCTACCTAAATGAAAAGCTCACAATAAAAAAACCCAAAGCCCCACAAAACAAAAGCCAACATCAAGAAATAAAATTTTTACAAAGATACTATTATCATAAATTATGAATGTCTTTCTGTGAGATGGTGTTAAAAAATTACAGCAGAGAAGAATTTTTACAGTGCCCCTCAGAATTAATTTCCAAACCATTTCAAAACTTCTTCCTGTATCTTTCCTGTCTTCTTCAGGAAAGATATTTAATAATCATAAAACCTTCATATACACTGCAATTCAAAATATGTTTTCTTCAAACATACATGCTGCTGAGGTGGCATTTAATAAGCAGTATTAAATGTCCATGCAACTAACGAAAGGGTACCTAGTTAACTTTTCTTTAGCAGAAGTCTCAGCTCCTTTTTGATTTATTTGGTATTTTTCATTAGATTGACATGTCATTGCCTGAAATGGTTTTGAAACACAGAAGAAGCAAGGGCATAAACATTATACAGAGCCTTATTTCACATTAATGGAGCAAGTATGAAAATATCACAGACCGGAGTAAGTATATTGGAATTTTTTCATCCTCTTCCCAAACTGATGCTTGGAAATTTGTTTTCAAAGAAAACCATTCCTTTGAAAAGTGCTTTCATTCACACTATAATGTGACCAACCCTACTAAAAGAGAGGTATAAAGAAGCAGTGTTCATTCCTTTCTTCTGATTATTTGTTTTACAGGAGATATTGAGCATTCTAAGATAGCAAAAGATACAGCTAATGCAAATACCTAAGAAGAAATACAGTAATAGATTTTACAGACAGGTGGACACTGTCCAAAACTCTGCCTTTTCACATACACATTCTAAAGGAATAAGGACACACTACTAAGAATGATATGCAGGTAAGAGTGCAAATCTGAAGTACATTAAAAAATGTAATATTGAGTAACACTATGAGCATTTCAAATTGGACATATCAACAGGTGAATCACATTTTTCCAGTATTAGAGACATGAAGCTATACAACATTTCAGAGCACCAGCAACTGAATGCAGATCTACAAGAAAAACACTTAGAAAATTAATGATTTTTACCTGTTGATAATCTCAAGAACAATCTGTCTATGTCTTTCTCTTGCCAACTTTATCCAAAGGGAAGAAAGAATATAAAATTTTGTCCTAAATATAGAAAACTGTTGCTAGGTTTGAAAAAAATACAAGAAACGTTTAGCAAGGACAACTGAATGAGACTGTGCTTCAGAAAGAGTGCCTACCTGATTCAAACTATTCTCAATCAGCAAATTGTCTTCCAAAAATAAGTAAGTAACTTGGAGGGGATGAGGTCTTGGCTATATATTAGAGTCTGTGCTAAGTGTTCTCAGCATAGACAGATGAAACCTCCCCATGCTGAAGTAAAAGGAGTAAAACAAGCATAGTCATAGAATATCCTGATCTAGAAGGGACCCATAAGTCCAGCTCCCAGCTCTGCAGAGAACAGCACCAAGAATCACACCATGTGCCTGTGAACATTGTCCAAATATTTCTTGAACTCTTGACAGTCTTGGTGCTGTGACTATATTAAATGAAAGGAGCAGAACTAAGATACAATGGGAAGATGGAAGTGTGTCCTAGCATTTTTAAATTAAAATGCAGTGTGCTAATAGAAAAAAAAAAAAAAAGAAATAGAAAAAAGGGAAACAACAGACATCACTAGGTCACTGGAAAACCTCAATACTGTTTGATGCCTTGAAAGCCAGGAGTAACAGAAATACTTGATAAAACGTATCTTTTAAGAAATATGCTTTCTCCAATTACTTAAACAGCACTAAGATCTTTCCAAACTTTATCTGTCAGACCTTATTTTGCTAGAAATGGAATACAGTAGGCAGTCTTTCTTATATAAAGGGAAAAATCACAATGCAGAATGTAAAATGTCTAATCTCAAGGAAATAAATCTCAACACTTCTGTAGAAATCTATTTGAAGACCTCAAAAATGGATAATTTAGAAGTTACAGAAAGCAAATGAAAGGGAATTTGGAGTCAAGAGAGAGGGAGCTTCATTAAAAGGGGGGAGAAATAGGTAACCGTGCACCCTACAGTTAAGTTGAACTAGTTAAAACTGACATTGGACATAAATCTGTGAGGAAACCACTTTCCAAGAAGAAACAGAACTGAGGATGAAGCTGAATTTTATGCATCTTTTAAAAACATGTAATTGTGAGCACAAGCAGGACAGCATCATGTACCTACATAAAGAAGTTTTAAGCAGAAATAATGCCTTTCATGAAATTAATGAAAACTGCTAAAACCAAAACAGTTATTGCAAAAAAAGAGTTTGTATTCTGGCTATATTAGGGAAGATATTAGGCATAAACCATTCTATTTGATTAAAACAGTCTTGATTTACAAATGCCTAACATTAAAGAAAAGCACTGCAGTATGCAGATAATTTGAAAGGGTATACTCAAAGCTCTGGGAATAAATTCAGGCCTTGATTCATCTTAACCCACAAACAAGTCCAAGTTTCTCAAGGCCAGTTAACAAAATTCTTTCAAACAGCATCACTGCCACAATTAAAATTATTTTAATTTAGATTTAATGTTAAAAAATAACATTATTTTTATCTTTACAGCCAAAAGGCACATGTCCCCCTGTGCAAGCTGCCACCTGCCCTCTAGTGCCTCCAAGGTGTCTGAACAGCATTTTTAGTTACGTTCAGGAGCATAACCTAACATTTTTTCCAGGTGCTGTTTCAAGCAGCATTCATTGGATTATCATTGGGTTCTGCTGGTTCATAAACTCTGTTATGAATAGATAGGTGTGAATTCTGAGAATGGATCAATGTCTATTACCCATCAGAGTTACTGTAGGTTCAAAGTGCAAACTAGTAAGTCAACATTTGAGTAAAACGGCTAATCCACATAATCTGTAAGTACTACGTCTAAACAAATTGCTTCTGTATCTTAAAGCTAGGGGAAAAGGAGTCTTAGAATACCAACATCTTTCAAATATTTATTCTAACAAATTATACAGAAAGGGTGAAAAATGAAGTATTTCTTTCTAAAACAAGGGAGGTATTTTAACCTCTTCCAATACCACAAGCATTTCCTACATTTCCTTCAGATACAAACCAAAGGTGAAAAGACACCTATTTAATACATTTGAAAAGCATAACAGGTTTATAATTAACTCACAAGTATACAAATAAGGAGATTTTACTAACAGTCTTCTTTGGGAGACTTGTGATAGAATGCTTTAGAAACCTGAAGAATGGTGATTTATTTTCACTTAAAAAAAACCACTAGTAATGTGTAATTTCTAATATGCAGGTTTCTCTTTAAGCCAACATATCTAATTTATATATAAATTTATGACAGCAACAAAGCAAACTGCTTGATTTCACAAGCAGTAAAAAAGCTTTAGACAACACTTTATTTGATAAATGCTCATATTAAAATTCAAAGAACTATAACTTCTTTTCATTCTTTTCATTCATTCTTTTCATAACTTCTTCTCATTCCTTGTCTATGTCTCCATAACTTTGCTGTTTATGAATGTTACTGTGTATAAACACTAAAATCAGCATTATTTCAGCAGTAAATAAATTTTTATCACTACAGTCAAACAGTGTCATTTGATTATGTACTATGATTTTAATACATTAACTCAAATGACGACAAAGAGAAAACACCAAAATAAATTATTCTCAGGGATGAAAACAAACAAAAAAAAACCCTTCAAGGTTTAATGCCAATTTAAAAATCACTTAAATATTTCCCTGCTTAGGAGAATAGTTAGGAGTGTGCTCAGTTTTAAGCTCATGGCAGAACTGCATTTCCTGAAGTTGGAAAATAAAAATGGGTGTTCTGGAAGGCAGGTTAATAGATCTCTACTTGTAAAGCATAGCAGTAATGTCAGGGCAAAAAGCAAATTAGTAGCACTTACGTTAAATAGCAACCTATGAAAAAGGTCGTATATTATCTTTGTTTTATTTTTGCCCCAAAAACCCCCAAAGTATCTAATTCTGCTTTATCTATTTTAATATCTAATTCTTTAGTACCTAATGCTGCTTTATTGCTATGCTTGTTTGGTTGGTAGTGATCAGATTTCAAAGGTTAACCAGAAAGCTGAGGTGAGCTTAGAGTAGCATATAGAACAGTGGCAGCAGCTCATCTACTGGGTGGCAATTTTTTAAATCAAAGCAATCAGTCTTCAATCTGCCAACATTAAGAAAAATTATTAAAGGAAGTGTCCATATTAAAAAAAATTAAAACAAAATTTGCATTAGTAGACTTTCTTTTTGAATTCTGTAAGGCATACTGTGAGTCACACATACTTTGGCAGCCACTCTGATTTACTTGGTTTTGGTGGGATAGAAAGGACTGTTAATCAAAGAGACAAAGTCTGTCAAAGGCACTGCTTTTAACTCCCACCCATATTTCACATCACACATAAGTTTACTGGTATGGAAACTGAAGAGCACAATAGGAAATTTTCATTTGCATGCTTACATAGGCATAAAATAATCTTATTAGGGCTTGCAAAAGAAGCCCACAATTAAAAAATATAGTGGCACAGTGGTAACATCTTTTGGGAAGCCATCATTATGAAAAGACCAGCACAGTTTTTGTGTTAGGCAGTGACTTGCAAGTCAAGCAGCAGCTTCTCTTTTCACCTGCACTCCTCCTCTGTGGATCTTAGCGCAAGATTCCTTTTGCCTTTGAAAATGAGAACAATAAAACTTACATGTGTACAGAGCTTGAGATCCAAAAAGATGAAGATACAGAAAATCCTAGCCAATGAAATTTGTATTTCTGAGTGAGTTCAAAATGTCTGGTATGTTTCATGCTACACATCAGGAGGCTTCTACTAAAAGCCAGAGCTGTGCAAGGCCAGAATAAAGGCCATTGACTTCTCAGCATGAACCTACACAACACGTGCAGAGGAATGGCCAGGCATCATACAAACACACCAAAGACTAGCTTTAGAACAGCTAATGAGGCAGCAATAACAGTTCTGCTAGGGCAGAACTGCCCTCAGCAAGGAGAGGCTGCTTAGACATTCACCCAAAGTCCCAGCCATGTCCTGAAGCACACACTGAATGCAGAAACAGTCCCTCTATGAAATTTGAGCTTGCCAATTGGCTACTTCGGTGAGCATGCAAAATAGAAATAAGATCTTTAAATTTCAATGTAGATAAAACATCTGTGCATAAACAGTGCACTTCACACTGCCGCCAGTAACACCTAGGGAACAGATTTATTTTAAACTATAACTTACATTCCTCTAATGAAATAATGACTTTTTTAGGGCTATACTTTTTTCTATCATACAAGCAAGCCAAATACAAATTACATTAAGCTTCCCTAATTTCTATTATCCCTATGAAATCTAAATTCTAGCCCTAGAGCTATCAAACTCTGCTTCAAAATCAATTAATTTGAAATCCATGAATCCTTATAATGCTAACAGTAAATAATTTTAGACATAATTATCAAGGTTAAATACATGCTTTTAATCCAGAAGTAATTCTGTTAAAAGGTATTTGAAGAAAAAATTATACTTCCATCCCCAAAATATCACCAAATGATGTCATCAGCTTTGTCTGAAGCCATGCAATGTACTCTGTATATGTGTAAAGCTGAAACTATGCTTACAGCACTTTCTCAGTCTGCCTGCAAACACAACAAATATTACATTTTGATTTCATGAGAATGCAGGAATAGGAGGATCAATGGTGGTAATGACAGCAGCAAGATTAACATGCAACTGTTGAAATGCAGCATGGTATTTAGCTCGTATCATTTTGGAAGGATACGAGCACCTGATGAAGTCAAAACCTGAAGCAATGTTACAACATGCATGATATGCAAATGTATCTATCTGGGGAGGTTCCTTGCATATAACAAGTGTTGGGAGATGAAGAAATGTAAAATGCTTCTTTGAAATAGCCAAAATCATAATCTGAAGTGCATATAAAAATAAAATAATGGAAAAGCCTTAGAAAGGCTTAAAACTTGCCCTGAAGGGAGATATGGGTTTTTATTGGCCTGGAAAGATACCAGCCATGACTTTAATGTAACCATCGAGTCCATCTATTTGCTCGAAATGTTGAAAGACTTATAGCAGATGAGGAAGAAATGTTTGAGGCTTAGAAAATCAGTTTTCACCACCTAATGTACTATGTTTTCTTGGACTCTGCATAGTCACGCTGGACGCATTCAAACTTCTCTTAATCTTTCTTTCAGTAGAGCGATGCAGAACAGCATAACAGAGAATTCAGGTTTGGGACTCCTTTTGTAGCAGCAAGATTTAAAATATACAGTGCAGCACACTCTACTGGCTACTTTCAGGGAACACTGAAAGGTGCATTTCTTGTAAGTTCTTACAAACACATCTAAGAACCAATGTAGGGGACTGCACATACCTATACAATATACTGGGATAAGAACTCCCATAATCCAGTGAACAGTCCATTTTTAAAAAAATGCATGAACTGCAACACATGCACAGAATATTTGGTCCATATTACAGGAATCGAACCCACAACCTTGGCATTACTAGAATCATGCTCAACCAGCTGATTCTGCATCATTGGCATGAACTTGATTTTAAATTTCATCTTCCTTCAGTTGGTATGACACTTAACATATGGCTCTAACATCTGAAGAATGTTTCAGCGAGGGAATGTTACATTCTGCCTCCATTCTGCCTCTGCATTCATTTGAAACAGATGAAAAGTAGCGGTCATGAAACTTTCCAATACTGGACAGTCGAGCAGAGTAAAATAGGCTAAATCACTCAAGATGCTTCCAGTTCTACTTGTCCACCAGGCTTACGACAGCATGGAAGACATTTAGAAGGGCTAGAAGCTATCAAGAAATCTTGGCAAATTTCCACTATTTCTGTCATAGTTTTGTATCAGCCCAGTGTCCATGACCAGTGACTGAACAAATCACGGTACCAATTTATTGTTAAGTGACAAAGAGGGTTTGCTGCATCTCTGAAAATTAGTATCCCATGAAGAATGCAACATCTACCTGCAAGTTGTAGTCTTGAAGAATTTTCACTAGTGAGTCTCTCAAATTAGGAATCTCCATGCCTTCCTTAATGCGGTGGATCAAAAGAATAGGATCAACATGAGTTCCAATATTGTTCAACAAACCAGTAATAAAAGCTGTGAAAACCAAGAGGTAAAGAAATTAAGAAAAACAATCCAGCAAAATACCTGATTAAAGGATACTTTGGTGACAAACTACAGGCTTTGGCATATTCCTTAGCTCTCTACTAAGTGAAAGTACTAAGTCTATTCTACAGTCTTCTTATGTTTCTTGCAGCTGTTATTTACTTGAATACAAGCCTTTGGGAAAGTGAGGAAGATACAGTTTGGCAATTTACAGAACTTCCAGCATATTCAGCAAAGTGGTAACTGAGTCTCCAGCACAAACTCACAAGTAAATAATGCATTTTGATTCAATAAAAAGAGCACTCAAGCAAATAGAGTGAAAAAATTAACTATGTTATGTGGTAATTCAATTCTCAGTTCCAGGGTTTAAAAACAAATTTTCAAGCACCTAACCCAATTTCAATGTGTTTCTAAACATTGGTGAGAGTGACACCATAGAAGTGTTTTGCTTTTTGAAGGGCATCTGGCTAAAAAACCCACTAGAATGATGACTCAAGGCTGTGTTTTTTCTTCAACCCCCACAACTGAGCAATATTACTAGAGCTGCTCTGCATATAGGCAGAAACTGTAACATAGAGGAACTGAGAGAATTCTGTATGCTTTGAATCCCTTTTGCTCTAAAGATATCACTGACTATAGTATTACTTTTAGTGATGCATTCAAGTATGGGTAATTTCAGAATGCCATTCTTCTTGAGGATTAACAGATTCTGGTCACTTCTTCCTGTCGAAATTAGCAGGCAAGGGATGAAAAGATATGTATTCTGACACTAATTCTACAAGACTCATAATCCCCCAGAAAACAGGTCCCAAGAGAGACTTTAAAGTCGTGATTTAAAACCCCAGAAGAGGCTGCAAAAACTAATGGAGTATATAGTTATGAAAATTCTATGTTTTCTTAGTCATTTGAACTTCTTTGAATCTGCCTCCTTGACAACACTGATGCTTATGTTTCTGAGTCCATCTAACCTTTTAACTCATATAATGAATGAAAGGAAAAATGCACTCAATATTACCGATATTACCTTTGTAAGACAGAAACAAAATAAATTAGTTGTTTTACTGAAGGGAGGAAAGGTGTAGGCTCTTCATTTTCAGAATCTCAAAGGGAGGCAGTTGTAATAACATAGTATGCAAAATCCTCATCAAGGCTGTAGACTGTGTTTTGAGGCTGTCTAAAAATCTCATTCTGCTAAAATAAAAGCACTACTGTCCCCTTGATTTGTTGTTAAGGACATAATTATGCAGAGCTTATTCAATATTAAGCCTCCAAGTATTCATTGTGCAGCATAACCTCACACTGCCTTGTTGCTAGTTTTCATGCACAGTAGGACAGCTGTGCTGTGTTTCACAAACCAGAACACCTCCCTGACCACACATAAATGCCTTCTGTAACATACATGTGAATAATTCAATCTTTTAATTGCAATAGAATTCCACACATGCAAGGCTTTCCAGAAACTATCCCACTTACGTGGTTTGTCAATAGAATATAGAATGAGATCTTCCCAAAGTTCTCCATCATCTTGTTCCTTGGCAAATTCAATAGCTTTATCTACATCTTGCAATTCTTCCATTATCATCTTCAAGGCACTGCGGCTATTACCCATTCTGCCTGGAAGGAAAAATAAGAGATTTTAAATGTGAATTGCTCATCAGTGTTCCTTCAATAAGAATTTTGTAAGTGTGAAGTTGACTCAAACTAATTCAACTAAGACCAAATCTAGTCTATTCTGATGTAGGAATACAAATCAGTATAATCTGAACAAGTGCTTGGAGCAGTTTGCTGGACTGGGACCTGGAGGCTTTCTCAAGGATGTGCTGCATTATATCTGGGGTTCTGAACTGCAGCAACATCTAACATGAGGGGGAGTGTGTTTATGTGTATGGACATAAACTATAACATGAAATACCAGCTTCAAGGGCCCACATGAGCCCTCTTAATTTGCAGTAAGTATGGTGCAGATTACACCCATGAAAAACAAGCAGAAACAGGAAAAGGTAGCAGAAATTATGAACCATTCTTTAAATAAACTCATTAGTAAATCTTATTCTCCACTGAAATGGTCCACAAAATATTCTATTTCTGACTGAACCAGAGATTGTTTTCAAAAATGCTTACTATTCTGTTCCTGACTCATACATAAATGTATATATAAGTCTTCCAATGCCTCTCATTCAGAGGTAGAATTCTTGGCCAGCTGAAGGAGTTAATTTACAACTAATTTTATGGAAAAAAAAAATTATAGAAAGCAATATAAGCAAATCTTTAATCTCAGCAAAAGATAATACTAAGCTTCTAAGATGTACTCAGAATAAAACATTTAATTTCTCCTCTCTTTTCAAAACCAACAATATAACTCTTCTCTTGGAGATTGTATCAGAAATACCTCCCTTCCCAACTTGTTCCCCATAGCCTCTGCAACACTTCCAGAACCCCAGAAGAACACCAAGTAAACACAGTAACACAATATATGAAATTAAGACATCATATCCATCCACTGCTTTGATTTATTTTCTAAATCATATTATTTGGTTTAGATATTAGACAATGTATTTTCACACCGTAAACTTTATTACAAGTTTAAAAGTGTTGTAATTGATCACAGTTATTTGTTCTGAATTACTTACTCAGAAGATAGACTGTCTCTTCTACAAAGTTCCTCTGCTGGCAGATTTCAAGAGCCTTGAATGTAAGAGAAGAGAGAAGAGAAGAGAAGAGAATTCAGGAAACCATGCAACATGAAATTTTATTGATCACAAATGCTGCAAGAAGCTTGAAGTGATTTTTCCACCAAATTACAATATTCATTTTGACAGGAACACAGCTCCCTTAATAAGCACTGCCAAGTTCTCTGGCCTTAATTAAGAAGAGAAGCTTCATGACTTCCACGACTCTCTTTAAAATTCTTCTCTGAGACTGAAAAAATCTGGGGACAGAACAGGTATTTCAATCTGGACTATGTCAATCTCTGCCTGTAATTCTACCAGCAACTTCTTTATTCTGCCTCCAAAAGTTGGTTAATAAAAAACATCAAGGTTATCTGCTATGAAAACTTGCTTTTTGTGGGTGGAGTTATGTGGTTTCTAGTGATGTAAGTCTGCTTGACATACATTAATAACACAAGGCTGAAAACCTCCTCAGGGTAACCAGAATGGTTTCAAGAGAGTGCCCTTCAAATTTTGTACCAAGAAGACAACGCGAAATAACAAATATGAAAGAATATGGAGGAAGCACTTCTTGTAAATTTGGTTTAAAGACCTAAGGGCTAAGTACCTTCAGCATCTAAAGAATCTGTGTCTAGTTGGAAACCAGCACAACTATCGAAACTACCAAACTGATTGCCAACAAGTTTGTAGTAACAGGAAATAGGCTGGGCTGGTATGGCATAAACAGTGCCATGTCTGTTTCCAGTCTGGAAACAGAAAGCAAACTCAAGATTCATAGCATTCCTCTAAAGACAACTGTTCACCAACTTTCACACTTGGAGTTCAAAACTTTCACTAAAAAAAGTGTAGCTACAATCAAAAATGAGGTAGGAATTAACTTTTCCTTCCAATTCTTATTATTTCATAAGAGTTACTATGAAGATTAGAAATATGGACACTAAATTTTGGGCTACAGTAAGTGAATTACCAACCAGATACCTCAGGTGAATGAAGGTATGAATAATACTATTAAGTTATATACACAGCTGACAGCCTTGTTTTTCCTCTCCACTTAAAAGGTAAACTACAAAGCACCAGGTATGCAGTAGTTCCAGATACTGCCATTTCCTGACTGTCATGCTCCCTCTAGAGGAAAACAGGGAACATTCTGACTTCTCTTCCAGCTAATTTTTCTGATTTTTAAAATGTTTGCTAAACTGCACTTGAATAAAAGTGGCTTACTTCTAAAGAGTGTAAATTATTTCTTCTTGATGAGTTTATAATTTCATTAGAGCAATAATAAGAGTGGATTTTTTTCAAACAGAAATAGCTTTTTGCAGTTTATACACCCTGTTGGAACTTGCTTAACAGGAACTGAAAACAGTGGTAACTGGGAAATTCTTAGTAACCTTTTCATTTTCTTAGAACAAAAATCTGTATGTCAGAAGAAGTGTTACTATATGACATGCAGAGAAAGAAGTATAATTACAGAATTAGTAGTAGTATCTTTTTCTCTCCTCCTCAGCTTTTTACTGAAAGATGTTAATATTTTAACATTAAGGTTAGAATGACATGTTTTTTCTGACATTCTTCTCTGTTGACTTTTGTGATTACTGCACCACACCTTCCAGAAGCTGATGGGTCTCTGACCTATCCTTGCTCATAGCCCGTATCTTCAGTAAAGCAGTACCAGCAATGAGCATCAGTTTCACAGAGCACTTTTCTGCACCACCTGCATTAAAGATAGGAGGCTGGATGTGCAATAACTAATTTGCCTCAAAATTAAAAAAACAAAATGCAGGTAAGGTTTTATACACAAAACCATGATCACATGAATAATACATAAGGCAGTAACGAAGAATCAGAAAGTTAAAAACAAGTAAGCCAATATTGTAGACCAAAGTTTCTGGCTGGAAACCTCTCAGGCTCACTGCCTAAACTAGTCAGTGTAGTTTCAGGTAATGGTTCCAACAAATCCCAATTCTCCAATGCTAAGAACCTATTTTTCAGTAGCCAAAAACATGCAAAACAAGAGAGGTACCAGGAACAGTATTAGTTTGCTTTAGAATGTTAACCATGTAAAATACAACATTCAATATCACACTTGAAAACTACTCCACTGTCATCATTATAGCTGCATATGAATAGGCAAGGTCTGCTCTGCTCAACCATTAACAGCAATAAATACAAATAATAAAATACTGACCCATCTAAATTGGAAAACTTAGAAATTCCATTAATTTCACATTAATTCAAGCAGGGGAAACAACTCAAGATTGGCTTTAGCTTTATGCATTTTATAATTTGACAAGAAAGAGCAAGGAAGGAAAATAGAAAAAAATACAAAAATATTAGAAGATGGAAACCTGGTACTCTGTAAAACCCCAAGTGCCAAGCCAAAGTGCAAAGACAAATACTTTTAGCCCTGTTAGTTCAGTAACTTATTTTGTGTATATATATTATTAAAGTGAAACTTATGGCCTTACAATAAAAAGATAGAATAACTACAGTTACAGCTACCGGTTTTTCAAGATCTAACACTGACAACTGCTAGATTTGGCAAAAAGATTTTCAGTTTCTTGAAACCATAACGTATTGTTCAGTCAAGCACTGATGAGTAGATATGTTGTAGCTACACACCAGATGTGAATTCAGAACTTCTGCATTAAAAATACCCATCGATTCCTGCCCTGTGAGCTGAGAGATTAAAGTCTCAGGTATCATCAGCTCTGCAAACCAAACTGCAGGTGATGGCCACAAACTCAAAGGATCCCTCATATTGGCAGTAGAGGGCAGTACCAGACACAGTTTGAAATTCACAAGACTACAAGCTACAGATCAGACATAAAAATCAAGGACCTCTGCTTAGATTTCTGGGGCTTACCTTCTCCAGTGGGCAGTGTGTGCTGTCTCTGAGAAATGGAAGTAAGTTTGGTCGATCATATTCAGCATAAAGGCTGATCTGTTTCTCATGATATCGCTGGCCTTTATGGTGGTCTCTTTTGAAAAGCTTGTGTAAATACTAGGAATCCAAAAAAAAAAAAAAAAGTCAGAATTCAAGCCCACTTGCTCAATATTATTAATGGAATCATAGAAACTCCTGAGTTGGAAGGGAACCACATAGATAATCAAATTCCAACTCCTGGCCCTTCACAGGACAGCCCTAGGAATCACACCATATTCCTGAAAACATTGTCCAAATGCTTCTTGAACTCAGATAACCTTGATGCTGTGACCACTTCACCAGAGTGGAAACCTGTTTCAGTGCCCAGCCACTCTAGTGGGAAAAGCTTTTCCTAATATCTAACCTAAACCTCCCCTGAAACAGCTTCATGCTATGTCCTTGGGTCCTGTCACAGGTCCTCAGGGAAGAGATCAGTGCCTGCCTTGACACTTCCCTTGTGAAGAAGGTGCAAATAGCTATAAGGACTCCCCTCAGTCTCCTCTTCTCCAGGCTGAGCAAAACCAAGTGACCTCAGCTGCTCTTTGTACGGCTTCCCCTCTAGACCATTCACCATCTTTGTTGCCTTCCTCTGCATGCATCTCTTCTGTAAACTGACAGTCTGTCAGCTGCCTTTGCAAAGCACTTGGGCTGTGGACTGCACTTGCCATAGATCTGCTTCCCATAATCAGATCTCTAACCCATAAACCACCTCTCCACCAGATGAATACCTAAGCCCTATCTGTGACCAAGAGCAAGTTAAAACTTCCCTCTCTAATACAGCCCAAGCCCACTGTCACACATTATGAGGAGTCACACTATGTACTCCACTGACAGCATGTTCAAACCAAAGAGGAACTTCTGGAATAGCAGTGCGGACCCACAGCCTTACAGTGATATTGTAATTCTGTACAAACAAGAACAATTCAACAGTGTATGGAAGTTACAGCTCCAGAAAGACAAGCAATTCACTTTGTCTATGGATCAGCAAAACATTTTAGAGCTGCAGCCACCAACCAACCGCATTTTTGGGTAGGGAAAAAGAAGGAATAAAAGCAAGAATTAATTGACCAGAAAAGACAAATGCCTACAATGCAGTGCAAAGGAGATGTTAATAAGTATGTACTATGTTATCAAATTCTAACAGGTACATGTTTTAAGATCATTTAACTACTGTGAAGATGCTATGGCCATGCTAAAGAGGAAATTGCCAGAAATAGCCCCTTTGCCTCTGATTATTTATGACATTTCAGTGTCAGGTGCACTTTGAAAAGATAAACAGTCCTGTAAAAGGTATGTCCAGCCAAGAGTTTATTCAGCTCAGCTTGAAATCAACAGAATACAGGAATACTTACCACATGCTGTAACTCAGGCCTGTTTTCTAATTCTTCAACAACTCTGTCAATCTGAAAGAAAACAAACCTGTGATAGACATCACATTTACAAGACTGAGGGGAGACCAGGTAATAAAAGCTAGCAGTGGACTGCCATGCCATGAGCTTGTCATACTCACGGAAATTTTATCTTCATTATCCAAAAGCATGTCTACCGCTTTCTACAACAGAAAAAAAGAACTCAGATAGGAAACAGGTATACATATTTTCTCATACTCTATATAATATTATGCTTGTTCACTGATGGGTGTCAGATAGATATTGCAGACCTACTCTTTTCAGCAAGAGAAATTCAGAGAACAATTTACACAACACCAGCATACCTTGACAGCACAGCACTGCATTCTTCCAGAATACTTCTCTTAAGTTTCCTCACTAATAGCAATAAATGCTGTGCACTGACACTGCAGGTGACATATGCCCACTGAATCATCATCAATCACAAAAAGCCACTGCTGAACAATGTAGAAATACTATTTGTTCCATCACTGAAGGGAACTACAGGGTGATGACTACGTAAGAAACACACACAATTCAATCTCTCTCACAACTGGATTCCTCCAAACTACCTGCACACCAATACATTAATCATGCAAACAAGACCATGTAAGCCAAGTGGTCACCAGAACTCAGGTTCTGCTTCCTCTTTCAAGAGCAAACTTTTGCTTCAATTTCAAAAAATACCAAGATATGGCTTGATATTCCTAAAAATTCCTGGTATGACTTATTCTATTGGATTAAAAAAATTATACTTTTTTTTCTCCATGTAGTTTAGGATGGGCATACTAAAGATGATCACCAACAGTAGAGATCCATATTTTAGCTGCAGTGCTACAACTACTGCACTGAAAAAAGAGATCTACTTGGTTATCACCAAAACTTGTTTGCTCAGGTTTTATAACCAGCTGGAAAGAAAGTAGATAGAATTCAGCATGCAATTAACACTTCCTGATTTTTGGAATTTAGGTTAATAACCTTGCAAACTTTCAGAAGCAGATTAATTGACCGGTGAAAGGAAAATGGTAAGTATATGTAATATGTGCCTAAATAAATTCACTCTCTCCTTTCTTTGGCTTACAGAAAGAGTAAAATGGCGAAATCTGCGTGAAATGATATTTAATGTTGTGACCTGAGAATCACAACAATCTCAAATGATGTGGACACTCACTTTTCTCATTGAGAGTGACAAATGGAAATGGAAAGGAAACACAAATGGAAATATGAAGGGAAAAATAATCTTGGGTCAATTACTTTGCAATCTAGACAAACAATCTTCCTTACCTCAGAATGTATCCAGATGCAGCAAACACACACTCTCCTCAACACCATCTTTAGCTCATTTATTTTTAATCTGTTAAATTATATCTAGAGGAAAGTGAATATAAAATCATTAAGATCACCATACCTCTGAATCAAAATCCATGAGCAGAACAATTTTGTCTCTGATAGAACTGAAGAGATTGTGTTTGTGGATCAACTGGAAGACATCTTTGTGCCTCAGAGTTAGGTAGATTTCTAGGGCTCTGCCATAGCGCTGATCATAAGTGTACCTGATAAAAATAGTATTATAATACATGTAATGTTACATACTTAAGTGCAGGAAAATCACTTATGAGAGAAAATACAAACATACTCTAGTATGTAAAACACGTTAGGATACTACTTGATTTTATAAATATCTAAATAGAGCTGTGATTCATTTTTGTAAAAGGGAAGAAACTATCAGGCAACATTAATTTCACCTCTGTTTATATTTGCCTTCATTTGTGTTCTGACCTGTAGTTTTCTGAATTTTCATTTTCCATTTTCAACTCACAGGGGAAACACACAAAATGCTAGCCTTTCAATTCATAGAAACCAACTGGAACACTCTTCAGAGCTAAAAAAACATTGTACTCTTAAAACTTTCAGGCAGATTGTAACATAGCAATAGACAGTAAGTCTTCTTTCTTCAAAGGAGCAGTTTGAAAATAACAGTATTCAAGCTGAGAAAATCAAAGAGCTTTTTCCCTGTAGTGACCAAGTGGACCAAGAACCAGATCAGTTTTGGCACATTTTCTAGTCACATATTTCCATCCATGCAGTAAACCTAAATACACTTCTTAAATAGTGGGCAAAACCCCCCACCATTTTATTTTCACATGGGTAATTCTGAAATGCACACTTCAGTTTCCTCTGACAGCATGAAGAGGAATGTTAGCTATTTACTTTGGAAAGAGGAGTAGGAAATCCAATCTCATGCTTAACAGTTTGCTTTCATAGTCAATGTGAACTTTACAAGGAAGGGTAAAGAATTGCTAAGCTGTGCAATCAGCTGAGTGGAGAGAAAGCCAATACTCTGTAGACTACAGTAAAGAAGATTTCTGCTAAGAGAGCTAAGCAAATGTGGATAAACTACAGTACGCTATTTTAAGTGTACTTTTTGTAACAGGAATATAAAACTGTACTCACAGTTCTGCAAGCGTTCTTAGCAGAGTCCTGTTCTGTGGATCTTTCTTCAGGTGATCCACTACAGCTTGAACTATGATTGTGTTGTTGTACAGATCTCCAGGCCACTCTTTTATTAGGGTTGCAAAGCCCTAAAAGTATAAGAGATTGTAACAGAAATAGAAAGAATGGCCTAAGGAGCATTTCAAAACATCAAAGCTTCAACTAAGCCTCTGAGATAATACCTGCTGTCCTTAACCTTTAAAGAACTTTTACATGCCCACAGACATGTAGTGCAGAACACAGATTTTTCCTTCTTAGGGCAATGTTATTAAGATTTATGAAGCTGAGTCTCTTTAGGTGCTGTAGGCTTTGTGCATCACCTCCAACCACTTATGCTACATTACACAAACTAAAAATAACAGTCTAATAAATAATCAATCTCACTGTATTTGCATGCTCTGAGGAACATTTATTTTTTTTAATTTTCTTAAAATTAAAATTAAACTTTTAAATATCGTCATTATTGTGGAACTGTCCACTGATAATCTGTTTGAATACAGAGAGAATTTGCTGTCAGAATTCTTCCCTGCTAAGGGTCTTTGGCTGGCAATAACTATGTGGACACATCAGGCTGCAGTACCTCATAGTCACTTTCCAAAAATGCATGCAGGACCATTTCGTAGATCAGAGGTTTCAAAACTGGATCTCGTCTTGGCAAGTAACGACTAATTGCCTATGGGAACAAGGAGAACAAAGTGTCAGATGAGGAATGACATATAACATCCTGGTATACTGATAGAAAAAAAAAATGTTGTGAAATGAACAAAGCTATACACAAAACATAGTCCCTGATAATCACTGTAAGCCTTATAAATTCATAAGCAGCACACAGAATTTATTTACTTTAGGATTATACACACTGGAATTGTATAACTCATTTAAAAGAACTATCATTTGAGAGACAGATGGCAAGATACTAATTAGAATGGGAGAATCAGCCATTGTCCTTAAGGTACCAGTAGTCATTTAGAAAACAAAACCCATGAAAGACGCCTCAAAAAAACAATGTTCTCAAAATCCATTTAAAGTCTAAGCCTTGTAAAAAGGTATAAGGATTCATTAGCTGAAAAATGTGTTGTTGTGGGTTGACCCTGACTGGACACCAGGCACCCAACAAAGCCACTCTCTCACTTCCCTCCACAACTGGACAGAGGAGAAAAAAATATAACGAAGGGTTCATGGGTTAAGATAAGATCCGGGAGGGATCACTCACCAAATACCATCACAGCAAAACAGACTCACATTTGGGACAGTAACTGAATTTATTAATAACCAAACCAGAGCAGGATAATAAGAAGTAAAATAAATATCAAAACCACCTTCCCTCATCCATGCCTCCTTCCTGGGCTCTACTCCTTCACCCCAGAAACACAGGGAGACAGGGAATGGGGATTATGGTCAGTTCATCACATACTGCTTCTCTCGCTGCTCAGGTAGAGAGAGGAGTCCTTCCCCTTCTCCAGTGTGGGTCCCTCCCACAGGAGACAGCTCTCCACAAACTTCTTTAACATGAGTCCATCCCATGGGCAACAGTTCTCCATGAACTGCTGCAATGTGGGTCACTCTTCCATTGGATGCAGTCCTTCAGGCACAGCCCAGTCCAGCATGGGCTCCTACACGGGCTGCCCTCTGTCTTCCATGGCGTGCAGGGACACTGCTACCTCACCATGTTCTGCACCATGGCTGCACAGGAATCTCAGTTCTGGTGCCTGGAGCATCTCCTTCTCCTCCTTTCTCCTCTGACCTTGGTGTCTACAGAGTTGTTCCTCTCTCATATTATGACTCTGTTCTTCTCTGGTCACAATCACAACTGTGCAGTAACTTTTTTTCTTTCTTTTTAAATCTGTTATCACAGAGGTGTTCCTATCATTTCTGATTGGCCTGGTCTTGGCCAGCAGTGGGTCCATTCTGGAGCTGGCTAGCATTGGCTCTGATGGACTTGGAGGAAGCTTCTGCCAGCTTCTCACAGAAGCCACTACTGTAGCACTTCCAATACCAGAACATGACCACGCAAGCACAATATATGTGTAATTTTGAATTATGACTTACTTTGGGGTCACCACATTCTATGAAGGGCTATTTTTACATACCCAATTGAAAATTAATTTGAAAATGTATCTCTCCATGAAAAGGGTGAAGGCATGTTATCTGTAAAGAAGGTGTTAAGGAATTGCATTCCAGCAAGCAGGAGATGAGAAGCTGCCAGAATAAATCAGCTCATACCCTGGAATTTCAGCACAGCATCTAATTAGCACTACTATTCCATGCAACTAGAGGCCAAGATTATTTCCACCTGCCAAAATAAATCCTACTGCTAACAGCTGTCTGAGGATTGTAGGGTTTGTAGCTGAGGGACCAACACCAGTGAAATTCCTCCAAACACTGAGATGTTGCCTGTTGCCTGCTCTTGGCACATGGTACAATAGCATTTTGATACTGAAGTTGCTTGAATAAAGCAGGAGAAAAAACATCTCACTACATTTTAGACCTCTCTTCTCTTCACAGATATCTTTCCATAACTTCACAGTTATCTTTCCATAACTGCACTTCAAGGCCTTCAAATAAAGATCCTCTTTTATATTACCTCCTTACTAAAATTATCTCAAGTTTCATTTCCAGGTTGGGCAAAAGGCAACATAAGCATATAACTCCCTTAAGTCACTGTTGCTGGAGGAGGAGAGGAACAGATCACCACAAGGCTCTAGAACCTTGAAAGTGCCACAGCTAGGCTCGCTAGAGGACATTCACTGAAGATGAGAGACATCAAGATATTAAAATGCAACCTTTGGTAGCCAAACAGGACCACTTACTACAGAACACTCAAAACCCCCCTAAAAACACATGCAAACAAACAATACTCATCCCATAGACTTTGACACTGGGGTATCACTAATTTCTCTGTGCAGGAAGGAAATTTCAAGCCTTTAGTTTACTGTCACCTTAGTTATTGGAAAATTATGCTAGTTTTGAGATACCAGATTTCAGGCAACAACTTACATGCAGTGAAAATTCTTCCAAGACAATTCTGCTTTGAAATGAACTCTGTTTCCACATCTTAAATAGTCTACTCATCAGGGCTTAAAGCCATTATAGGCCAGTTACAATATGGTGTTTAATATCTGTTAGTCATGTAAGTAGGTAAAAATTCCAAACAAGTGATCCCAAGCATTTCAAGGACCCCTTCATTTAGATCTGGCTTAATTTAGTCCATCCTTTATGATACTCAGGCATCTTTAGAAATCTGGGAAAAGTTATATGCAATTGAAATAGTGAAATAAGGCAGGCATTTTCTAGAACTGCAATTTGAAGCTGAATAATGTAATGGAGTGCATCTCATGTATTTCTGAGAATTCCTGTGCCTAGGCTATAGGAAGAAAAAAGATATTCTAAAGGCTGAAAACAGCCAACAATTTAGAAAGGTGGTAATTGAGCAAAGATGTTTCTGCAACAAACCTGAAAATATTTTGATATTTTACAATTTGCTGGATGATATAAGTGGAGATAAGACAAACATCCCTTCCAGACATTTGCAGCTAAAGAACAAAATGAACCCAGAAGGACTAAGAAGCAGTTTTATCAAAAATTCATCTGTACCTGCATCCAAGTCCTTTATTGGACTGAAATAAAGAAACAGAAACATAGGATTTCATCTTCCAAAGCAGTAAAGAGTGCACCAAACCACAAAGAAGTCATACTAAAGGCAAGGCTGTTTTTGCACTGGAGTGGCTCTGAAAGAAGTCAGACATTTCTGAAATTTGTAATGCTGAAACACTTTTGGTCTTTGAACAGAATTAAATAGCTCAAAACCAGGAAAGGACTGCATGCTGTGAGATCTTAATAGTATGTCCTTTTTGGCTCATTGAGTTTGAATAGGAAGACATAAAATTCAGACGTAAATGTACACACGTTACCAAAGGGAGTGTGCATAATGTTTTCAATTGGTTTAGCAGTGACAGTACTAGGCTTTATGTCCTCCACAATTTATTAACTGAGACTCTCACATTAAATGTGCACTGTTGTCGCTGGCTTGCGACTAGGGAAGGCACCACACAGCATAGAGTGCTCCTCTTCCTCAGCACCATTTCTAGCACAGGTCTTCATTGCTGCTTTGCAATTCCTTGACACTTAAAGTTGTGTAACTATTACAATAGACCTGGATTTTCCAGAATGACTGGTACCCACAGAGTCTACTTTCCTTAATAATTGGGGTAGGAATTTTAGGACATACTGGAAACGAATTAGAAGTAAATTGTAAAGATGTATTTAACTGTGAGCATCTTTGCAAGCAAAAGCCTTGGGGGTGGGTCCTTCATATGGAGACTGCCAACAAGTAAAATATGTAGCACTATGCCTCCAATCTTGTTTTAAGATATATCGATTGGAAAGACTAAGACAAAGTCTAGGAACAAACAGAGATCTGAGGCAGCAATACCAGAACAGGGCCATTAAATGTGATGCTTTACTTGGTCAATACAAACAGTAAATACAACATGCAAATTACTTGAGTTCAGACACAGAATTTAACTTACTTTAAGCTGACCTATTTCTTTAAACTTGTAAACTTCAAATTCCCAGAGTTCTGTGTTTTTGCCAAGGATTTTTTGGCACTTTCTGGGAGGAAAATGAAAGAGATGAGAACAAAAGTAGGTACAGAAAGTAATACAAATGTGACAGCATTATTACAAGGATTCATTTCCTCTTCTCCCTATCATGACACTCACAAAAGTGTCTGACTTTGGCAACCACCGCTTTAAGTAGAGCATGCCAGGTTTTCCTCCTTTCAAACCTTAAAATTTTGTCCATCCAAGAGGACCAACTGCTTATTATGCATTCACCCTTACTGATTAGGGCCATATTAGCTTTCAAAGAACCACAGAATGGTTTGGATTGGAACAGAGTTTAAACATCATCTAGTTGAAATCCACACAACATGGGCAGAGATGCCACTCTCTCGGTCAGCTTTAAGAGTGAAGTTTTTAAATCTCAGCTGAGAAAAACTGAACACTTAAAAAGATATGCTTACACTTACATGTACATGAAAACAAAAACCTTGGGTAATTTCTGATCCTTACTTCAGACTCCCATATTTGACATTTTTGTTTACACCTATGCAAAATCAAATTATTTTCTGATAGACTTATGTGCAATGACACACTAATAAACCGAGTTTATCAAAATTCAAACAAAACCTCAGTTTTGAAAATCTGGTGTGACTATGAAAAATCAAGGCTTACTTTCAAAAAGATATGCCTCAATTCCAGTTAAAGTTTACAGTAACTTTTAGTCACTATAGACAAAAAAGTATATGTCTCTGCAACCTCTATGTTTGGAAACTTCAGAAACTTAAGAACACACAGGAAATCAACATCCACAAATACTTCAGAATCAATAATTTGTTTTTTTGCTTTTTCCCCACACAGACACTCTTTAGCCAGCAAAGAAGATCTTTAATAAGAGGTTACCGAGCAGCAAGGTCATACTCTCCTTTCTCCACCAGGTGATTTATATAGGCTAAGCCAATGTCCTAGAGGGAATAAAAACAGAGAATTAGTTATAAAAGTTTGGAAGTGAACTACTTGACTACTGCAGGAACCACCAAAACAGCAGTGCATACAGCTGGAAAATCAAAGCTCTAAGTGCATGCCTTAATTCTCCTTTACAAGTAGGGCCCACAGAACAGTCAATACAAAATACTTGCATAGACTGCTTGCAGGTTCGACTGAAGGTGCTCTTTTAAATAATTTTCATAACCTCACTGATGCTAAGAAGACTACCACCGCTAATTATTAATGATTGTTTGAAATACATAGGTGATCTTGCAGTACTTGAATTAGTTCAAAAAGAAAATCACCAGTCATTGTATAAGACATGCTCTTTGTCAACAGAAAGTTTGAAGAGGATGGCAAAAAGTTGGTTGAGAATATAAATCCTAGTGCTGCTCAATAAAGTGCAGGAATTCCTGAGAACTTAGCAAGATTATTATTTATTACATACTGAATTTCCTTTCTCAAAGTTCATCACACAGGTCAGTTTCAAAATGTTTCTGGTAGGCATTTAACACATATTAAAATTCTGGCATGAGCCTCCTAATGATCTCAACACTCATGTCTATTTTGACACAACCCAGTGTACTCACTGCATAACCTAAGAATCTCACAACTAAAAAACACACCCTTTCTTGAAAGAAAAAAAAAAAGAGAAAAAAAGAAAAAATGAAGCTGTACAATGAAAAAGAAGTCCTTGTTTCTTAGAAAAAATAAACATTTGCATCTTCTGAGGCACAACATTCCTTTGATCAATATCAAGGACAGTACTGACTATAGCAGAATATGAACAGGGGTATGCAACAACTTCAAGTGGTAAATTTACTACAAAATTAGAAAAAAAATGCACATACACAATACTTTAGGATTTCATTACACTATAGGAACCACCTTCTTATTTTTAACTTCATCATTCTCAAGAAAGAGGCTGAGAGAAATCTTTATTCTCCTGTGGACCAGCTTCCCAGTGAGCAGAGAAGATGGATAAAGAAAATATGTAGATCTGGTTGTTTAGGATCTCTGTGCTCTGTTCAAGAGGTGCAGAGGAGCAGTGATAATTACTGCCGTCTAAAAAAGTCCCCAAGGCTACCAGACTTGTCAGGTACCCTGAGTGTGGTGTCCCTAAACAGTGAGAGCATGAGTTGTTTTAAATCAGTGTACCACTAATACTTCACTTAGGGCTTGATGTCAACATTTTGTTTCCTCAACATATTCTGTTGACTTCTGCTTTATAGACCAAATTCTCAAAAACTGCTTGTATTTCACTGAATTTAACCATTTATTGCAGAACAAATTTCCGCAAAGCAAAAGAAAAGTTGCGGGATACTTTTTATTTGGTTTGGTGTTTGTTTGCTTGTTTGGGTTTCTTTTTTTCCTCCTAATGCATTGCCAGGACACCCTTTAACTATTCTTCACATCTTTTGCAAAGGTCATAGAGCAGCTTTGTTAAATGCAAACTCTGTGATAGGTAATGGCATGCCATTTAAATCTTGATTCAACTTCTGGACTACATAAGAATAAAAGATTTTTAAGACATACTGATATACAGCATGCTTATTACATCAGTTATCTGGGCAAAAAATTAAACACATCTTCAAACACTTTGTACAAATTCCAATTTAAAGCAACATCAGTATTAGTGAATTTAAACAAAAGCAAACAAACAAGAACTAAAATTAGTGATGCTTTTTGTATCTATTACACCATTCCCCCTTTTGTTTTAAACATCAATACTCTTTGTTGCTCTGTGAAAGGGACTGTAAACATGGGAAATAACTCTATGTGAGAAAAGGAGCATCTCTTAATACTCTTTACAAAACCCTGTCACATGTACAAGGTACAAGTTAAGGGGAAATTTGTCACTTCTGCCTGCAATCCCTAATAGTGCAATACTGCGTGTTACCTCAAACAACAGTAAATCTAATACAAAAGTAAAAGCAAACAAAACCCCCATCAGCAGAGAAATGGAATTCTCATCCTTTAAATGCAAATAGAACCTTCATAAAATGCAGATCCTTTAATGTTTCACACACTAACACTCCTGTTCTGCAGCTGAAACCAAGAAATGAGATGCCAGTTAGAGTATGCCTAACAGTTATTGCCTGGTATTATAAAAAACAGGGAATTTATTTGTGGCATCTTACAGCACTCTAAAAGAAAGAAGATATTTTGTTTTGGATAGGAGTTTTGAGACTTACCAAAATCTTGTGCTTTTTTATGGTTTTCTGACTGATCTCAGCTGCCATCAAAGCTTCCTATATTCAAAAAGGAGAAAACAGTCAAATACAAATACTTTCAGAAAGCTCTAGAACTGTATTAATCAACTGTTTTTCAGAGTAGGTCATTGGAAGTTAGAATTTTTAATGCCATGGTTGGATGAACAGCTTTGAATTCATACTCAAACAAAAGCAGTCAAGCAAAGAGAAAACTACTTTTGTTTCCATCTGGGTTCACTCCACATTATTATATTAGGATCAAATCACAAGATTACAACAAAACACACAATGCAATCACATTTGTCCATTTTCAAATGAGACCACTTCACTACCAAAACCTGTGAAAAAAACAACAGGAAAAGGGGCGAATGGGGGAAGGCTACCTTCCAGTTCCCCAGCCCAAATGTCTTCTTTGGTCAGAATGATTTATATTTAAGTGTCATTTGCCGTTCTTCTACATTTTTCAAATGTACAGAAAAAAAGCTGGCACTTTTACAAATAAAAATGAAACCTTTAATATACATTGTAAAACGCCAGTCTACTAACTTGAATGGATTTTGTAAAGGCACACACACAGCTGTCACTTGCAAATTACTGGAGTCTTCAGAGACCAAATGCTGTGATTTACATACACTGCAAAACTGCACTCATCACACAAGTTTGCTATTCAAATGCAAAAGCATCCACATGGATTTAAACAAATCTGCATGAGAAATATCGTGATTATATTAGCAAAAGTAATACATGCTGAATGGTTTTTCCACATTTTTTTTCCTTATAATGGGCACACCACAAACATAAATAAGAATTTGCAAGTTAACTTTATGCACCATAACAAATGTTCTAAGTCAATAAATGCAGGATATTAGGATTCAGACCATTGTGTGTATGTTGATATGGTATGTAAAATTTATTATTATTGTTTTAGTTGTTTAGATACACATACTCAAACACCAATATTTACACAATCAAATATTGAGCCATTTCTTTTTCTGAGAAAGCTGTATACCCTTGTCTTTTAATACTGGATCAGCTTGTGAACAACACTACTTTCAGCATGCACAATCACAGTTCAAGCCCATAGTATTTTACTTTTAAAAGCACAGCTCATTGGTTAACTCTTCTGCTATTCTAAAGCCAAAACCCAGCTTTCATAATTTTCAGTGTCAGGTAACACATTTCATAACTGATGACAAGAGCCATATTTTCAGCATCTAATTCAGCTACCTCACTTGGGTGAAACTCTGATTAGTAGTTTCAGTAGTGGGACTAACTCTGTAAGAGATGGAGGGACAGATAGTTAACTCACATCCTTTACAAACATTTAGTCAGTGACTGTAGGAACAGAAACTGTCCAATCCAAATGACCTAGCAAAGTCCATCATCCTACTCCAATTTCCAAACAAGGAAAGTCTGAAGGAAAGAATGATATAAAAATTACTTCGTATTTCTTCTTTTCAAGAAGCCAGTCAATGTGATCATCTTGGTCCCGCTCTTTAGCCACAACCACATCTCTTGGGCTGATGATATAAAAAAGTGATTCACCTTCCGAATATTCTGCAAATGCATACACAGTTTTATTATTACTATATTTTCTTTAAGTAAAGTTCTGCTTTTTAGTACACCCTTGGGGGAAATTTACAAAGGGGGGAATGCAAGGAAGACAGCAAGGCTACTCCTGCAGGACACACTAGTTTGGAAGCAGTATTCTCCAACAAATTAAAACTGGTTTAAATGGCAAAATATCTTTCAAAAAATCACCAGAGCTTATTGCAAATTCTGATTCATCCACTATGTGTAAACTTTATGATGGTTTAGAACCCATTATTATACTTTTAGAGGACTATTACAATACACAGCCTGCAATAAACTTATCCTTCCCATCAAGGTCAAGGCCATCAAAAGCATAAATGATAGATGCCATAACCCCTGGGGACACAGCACATCATTACAGCAATGCATTTGCAATGCTGCAAGTTAAGGCTATATGTATAATGCATTTTCTTATACCATAAGCCTTTATTTTTAAGTAGGCTCAAAGAAAAAACTACTAAAAGATAAAATCAAATGCAGAAGATGACCATTCTGAATAGTTATAATTTGGACAGAACCATGAAGAAACACCAATACTTTGTAGGTCCAGATCAGTTTCAATGCACTCATACAAATACACCCCTGAAGTGATAAGCAATTCACAAAAAAATGCTTGTCTTAAAGCCATGCAAAACATTTAGATTTTTTCAGGTAAACTAGAATATTCATACAGCATAAAAGTACAGCTGTGGACAGCTGTATTCTGCTTTGGAACAAGTATAAAGAAACCCCAATTCTACTGATAGCAGCACCAATGTTTTTGAGGTCAGGAGGAGATATATTTCTAGTGGCTTAAGGGCATAGATGTACACAGAGGTTTTCCAAGCCTATGATTTGAAGCATGCTGCCAGAGGAGATACTTAAAATTCAGATTCATGGATTTTAAAAGCCAGAAGAAATGATTCTGTATAGCACAGGCTACATAATCTTCACCAAGGAATTCTGCATCAGCTTTGCCATACATTTTTCTGAGCAACAACATATAGATCATAAAACTATCCCATCTTTAAAATATGGCATATATTGTACCAGGGCTTAATGTCCCTTCCTGTTACATAATTAAACCTATCTTCTAGGTGGAACTTGCCAAAATCCAGTTCCTATGTATTCCATTTTACCATTTGAGGTCTGTAATATAACTGGCAGCTTTGTCAGTACAGAGAAACTAAATATGAGTGTGCCCCTCTTACGCTGACCAATGTACCTCCTACTGTTGAAATGAAACTTATTCAATCTTTCCCTCTAAAACAGCTTTTCCAGACATTGTACCACTCATTTCATTATTCCTGAAGCCCTTCGTGTAAAAAGAATTCCTACGGATCACATGTTGAATAAATCTCCATCAAAGATATTGCCTTCCACAATACTGGACATTACATGAGATATATATTTCTGGCTTCTCCAGTATGTCTGACCTACTAGACAGTGTTAAAAATCACGATGTTTAAATACACACATTTGTCTTCTTTCATGTGACTGGTTCTTGTGGATTACAGTCTACAATTCAGTGTCATAAGCAGTTACAGCTATTCAAGGAGATGACAAAAAAAATGAAAAAAATGAAAAAGAAGGCTAAGTACATCCAAATCTTTTTTAAGCAAGGTATGAAAACAAAACAAAACAATATTGAGAACACCTACCTAAATGATAATCACGACATTCATTTTCCTGAAATCCTCGTACTGTTAGAGCATCAGAAGAGATCTCTTCACAGGACTCAGGTAGGGGTTGTACAATATCGAGTCTAGGCCTTGCACAACACTCCACTTCCTAGAAAAATGGCATCTTAGTTGCTTCTTACATGATTTATCTTAGCAATACCAGATGTGGTCATCTACAAACAAAGCTGAAATTCAACAGCTGCAAACATTCACAAAGATTCAGTACTCTGCACTGAAGTACTCTGTACTCAGCTGCAAATCACACAAGCTGCAAAGCTGTACTACACAGAATGATTGCATTTGGAACTCAAAGGAAAGTTACTCCAAGTAATCCAAAATTACTCTTGGATTGCTTCCCTTGAAGAGATCAGTCTGGAGGAGGAGGTATAGACAAGACATAGGTCCAATCCCACCCCTTGCTCGCTGCTTTTCTGCTCTTGGTCACAGAAGTTTTCAGAGCTATCACAGATGACTATCAATTGCTTCATTCAACAAGCAACAGAACAATTTATAACCCATAGCCAGCTGGGCTCATGCCCTGAAGGACAGAGCTCCATGAGTCAATGATATTCTGGTATTAACACTAATTTGTTTTTTCTAAGCTGGTGTTTGATTTTAAGCAGCCAGCAGCAGCAGGGTAAATTAATCTAATAGTAATACAAAAACGTTGCTGTTCTGATGAACTTAGAGTAAAATGAACTTTCAAGTTGAATGTAGGTAGTTATGGTAAGATGACATCATGGATTTTCACCTTCTGTTCAAATGAAATTGCTGTCTTCAACTAGCTGCATTTTTAATTAAGTCAAGGTCCAAGACAATCCTATATTTGCTACTTCAGGCTGTGAATTATAGCAAAATACAAAATAAAAGAGCAAGAACATATAGAAAGTGGATTTAAACAGCTCTAACCTACCCATTTGGAAGTAGCACCACTTGGGTCTTTTCTCAATTTAACTGTTCCATGAAAAAAAAAAACCAAACCAGAAAAACTTTCAAAGCAAGTTCAATTGTGATCTAATTTGTAATAAGTAAGAAGCTGTCATTTGCAAGCTGTGAAACCAAGTATAAGAAGACCAGTGTTCCTTGCAACTAAATGACATTTGTAGTGAGCAGCAATTCTCCTGCAAGCTCAGGCAGTTTGGACTCCACACTGACAAGACAAGTGAGGCAAAACACTAACAAAGAAGTTCCCCATCACAACAGGACACAGGTGCAGCGTCAGGGATGATTGTACTTCTGTTCCTTCTACAGCTACCCAGAGAATTGAGAAGTTAGTGAAGTCCAGCATTTGGAGTTTGTTTAAAAGGCTAATTAAAAGCAAATACATGAAAAAACCTTTTTTCGATGTTCAATTACCATTGTATCACCTGAAATTTCCTTTTCATCTTTCTTTCCTAAAGCAATTAAAATTACTTTAACCTTTAGCAGTCACTACTTGTTTACACCAGCCCCTTTCCAGTACTACTTTTTCATTAACAGTGGCTTCCCAATTTCCTTGCTCCCTAGCATTTCAACCCACCTTTTCCTCCCCCTTCCTTATCACATTTGTTTGTTTTCTTGTCTTTCACTGACTCTGCTGCACTGGAGGACTACTGTGCTGACTCCTTTGGGAAACATTGCTGTGACATTATTCTTATCCTTAATATAAATAAAGAAATAATAATCTGGCATCCTGATGTAGAACTAGAAGCTAACCCCACTGATTTCAGAAGGCTCAAGCATTTGTTCGAACCTACAGCATTTCATTGCCTAGCAACTTGTGCACCCAGTTTCTTAAGGTTACTATGGTGATGGTTGTCTAACACAGACATGCTTATCAAAGAGATGATCAAGAGCATCTGCTGTTTTCACACTGCAGCTTCAAGGATTTCCTCCACTGCCTTGCCTTTTATTTGGCAATACGAAATCAATGTCGGAGACAGCCACGACGTCTGTCCATGCACAGTAAAAACGGCTGACATGAATTCTAATTTCTACCTATCCACACATGGATCTGGATGTACATAACTAAAGATCTTAGAAGAAAGGGAGACAATGATGCCACCTGCTCACAATCATTCATTCTACCCCACAGTGACTTTTATTGCTTGAGTTGATCAACTTCACTACTCTCATTTCTTTTGAGATGCAGTGTCAGCAAGCTCCTCTTATGGCTAAACAAGATTCTTTATTTCTTCTGGTGCAGAAACATCAGGAAGAAAGAGAGAATAGGAGAGAAAAAGGCAGGGAGGGTAAGAAAGGAAGGAAAAAGGAGCAAGAAGAGCTAGCTAGAGACCCTCTCTGCGTTCTGCAAGAAAAAAAGGAACCCAAACATGATTTCTGAAAGGTAAGCACATTAGTCTTCAACATCACCTCCACTGACCTTGTTTTATGGATCAGAGACATTTCAAGCACTATTCACTACCAGCAGACTCAAAATTTTTTCTCAGATAATCATATTTGTATGACTAGTTTAAGGCCCAGCTCACAGGCCAAATTAATGTGAAGAAACTCTGAGATTAAAAAAACTACCGTTTTTTCGGAGATCTCCTTCACATACGAAAGTATAACAAGCTGGTCACAGATAGGTGCAAGTCCACTGATGTAGAATTCGGTCTCAAATTGGAAAACTGAAATACAGGAAAGGAAAATAGACTTAAAAACATGAATGTGTATGAACTAACACCTGAGAAAAACTCACTGATTTTCAGAGACAATCAACAGCATACAGTACCCCTTCAGAGAACTGAAGACTCAACACATATAACAAACCCAGAGATTTCCCAGTTGGATCAGATGAAAATCTACATTAGCAGATTACATTACATTAAAGCTTGCAAAAAGAAATGTTTGTGCTCCAGGATGTGTTAGAGATGAAACATTTGAAATGAAGGTGCAGTCTGATTTTCAATAATCACATTAAAAAAGGAAGCAAAACAAAAGTCAAACTCAATAAAATGCAATAAGTTGTACAACTTCATTTGTTTGCATATTCACAGCAAGTTCATGTGGCCATAAGAGACCCACACTTGCTACATCTATTGGTATATGGAAAAACACAAAGATCATTATTTATCATCACTTTAAACATCACAGAATAATTTAAAGATACACTTATTACAAAGAAAATACCATTCATAATATCTTTTCTTCTTCATAAAACTGAAAACATAATTTTCTAAAATTGGTCTTGAAATCAAGACAGTTACATGAGATTGTTTCAAGAAAGAGAAAGAAAAACAGAGTGCTGATCTGTATTTAGAAAAAGACTTAAATGAGATGTCTGCCACAGAAACAGCTATTTATTTTCATTCTGGTGGATTCACAATGCACCTCTTTTTTGAGAGCTCCTCTCTTACGGGGACCAAAACAAGAACCATCCAAGTGTTTACATTAGCAAGCCTTGTAACTACAAACTTTTAAAAAAGCATCAGATACTTCATTATTTTCTCCCAAAACATGGTTTTAGGAGAATCTAAGCTTAAGTAGGTAACAAAAAGTTTCCTTCCTTACTGTTTAGCATATTACACTACTAATATACATACATTTACTAAAATTCACTAATTATTTTAGCAAGGCTAACAGAAAATAGAGCATCATGACATTAAAAATAAAGCTAATTTTCTTTAGCTTAAGATAGTAAGAAGGAACAGGAGGAATAATTGTCCTCCCACAAAGGGAGAAAAATACAATGAAACAGTACATATTTGACACCTGTCTCTCAATGAATAAGCAAGCACTGTGTTTCTTTTAATGACTGCTGACACTTTGGCATCACTGAAGGACCATGCTACAACACAAGAGTAGAGCACTCAATCCATTCACAGAGAAGAGGTTCGCATTTGTAACCACGTACATAATTATCTTGTTCTAACCTACAAAAATGATGAGATTACTTTGACTGTGTCATGTGTTGCTCTCAGTGATGATTTTAAACAAATCAGTTCAAGACCAACTACATATTTTATTTCCAGTTTACAATTTAGTATTTGGCATTTTAAAATAATATGGAAGGCAGGAGGAAAAATATAAAAAAAAACCCTTAAGTGAAATCCGTAATACTATCAAAGAAACTTTAAATTCAGCTTTATAGAAGGGCCAAGAGAAGGCTCTTAAAGGCATGTAAAATACTGTAGCTTGTATTTGAAGAGGAAAATTGCACAGGGTGAATTATAATTTATAATGATTATAGAGATGGCTTTAAAATCTATATGTGTTTCTTTGTCTTACACTAGAACTTTAGTCCCTTTGCCAGTGAAAGTGCTTGTAACGCCCAATGTAATGGTGTGTTTCAGATCTAGCAGAAGTATTGATTTTTGAAACAAAAATAAACAAATAAAAATCATCACTTCAAGTTTTGTTTCTGAATAGAGTTTAGTTTCCTTGGTTTCACTATCAGCTTTCTCTCAGCTCATCTTTCTCAAGAGGCGTTGTTGAAACACAATGCTCTAGCTCTATTGCTACAGCCTTGAACAAAGAATAACTGGCATAGACAGTGCTTCTTGACCTGATAAAAACCTTTGATGCTGCTAATCAAAAAAGTCTTACTGAAAAAAGAAGATGTAAGTTATATCTGCACAGAACAATAATAGGTTAATTTGCCTTACTCTCTGTACACTGTGTTGTGATCAAGGAGGAAAAGAAATCCAACATAAAGGCAATGGAGAAATGCTGTTAATTTAAAAAGGACCCAAAATAATTAAAACAAATGTGGTATTGAAATAAATGGAAATGACTGAGGTATGGCCATGTGTCATACATGTTTATGCCTGTCATAAGAGAAGATAGAAGAGAGGCTGACAGTGGATCTACTCCATGTTCAGCATCTATGTACAGATGTCAAACAAATTACCAGGAGGCAAAATGAAGAAACCTGTAAATCTTTTTTGCTGCTCATTAAATTAAATGTACAAAATACACCAAACTACAGAAATGAAACAATATATGCTACATTATTTACCTAAACTGTATAAAGTCTCTCTCTCTGGGATTTAAAGATCCACACATAATGTGATACTAAAACTGAAACTAAAATGAGCTATTTGACTATTTTGTTTAGTCAAACCTCTAAAAACAGTCCCTGCTTTACCACAGCAGATTTTAAGGAGTAAAACTTTGGTTACAGTCAGAAGGTTCTACCTTGGATTTAAACTAAAAGCACAAGTGGTGGAGATACCACCTTGAGAACACTTAAGAGTATGCTGCACTGTGACCTAAAACAATGAATACAAATTCTGCATATGGTTTTATGTGCTAGGTAATTTATGCAAACCAAAACAGAATACAAATGGTATGCTATGATTAGCTATTATCTTGTGCATGGAGTTGCACTTGATGTAAAATATAACCTTTTTTTTTTTGACAGTATGTGATTTCAGTTACAGAGGACAAGAAAAGTAAGTATCAGTTAAGCTTCAAAGCTGATTTTCTGAAAAACTCTTTTTTTTCCACTGAATCAAGAAAACATTGTTAATCAACAGGGAAAATATTCAGTCTTGAAGAACTCTGGGGCTTAGCAGCTCTGAGATTTGATGACAAAGAAGTCAAAATCTTGAAGCATTTTGAATCATTTTATGAAGAAATTTATAAACTATAGGTTTAGCTTGTGGCAAAACAAATGAACCAAAGTCTAAGTAGAATCAACTATGTAACAAGATTTGGGTTTTTTCTTTTGTTTTTGGCTTCTCCGAGTATAGCAGACTTGCTTAAATAAAGCGTTTGCATAAATCACCTTATGAAGTAAACTTCCTGATCATCATATTCATCAATTAAGCCTTACATTACATCTATATAAAGAGAATTATGTTGGTATACCAGATCCCATTAATTTCACTTTACAAACAAGAAAATAAATATTCCTATGTATTCAGATTGAAATGTGCAATCTCAATGCATGATGCTAACTTGCTATGCAGGTGTGAAGCTACTCCTTTGTAAAACACAGATGTGTTGTTACAAACATATTTGGTTGTGTTTGTTGTTGAAACGTGTAATTTTTAAACCAAAAATCTGCCTTACGGGAAATTTGGTAGAATGCAAAGGGAGACAAGTATTCAAGAGGCATTGGTGCCTGGCTTGTACCCAGAATTAAGCTGAGATTCCTCAGATAAAATCTGGACAAAAATTAATTGAATAAAAATTCTCTAATCAGCTTGAAGTCTTTTACATACTTCCAGTGTTAATCTCTATTTTCTGCTATCATTAACAAGCTGTGTAACTGAGGAAGAGATAAGGTACTTCTCCATAAAAGTATATACAATCCTGACAAGGCCAAGGAAGACTAGATTACCTATTTTCCTTTGAAAAGGCATTATATTAACTGAAAAATCTAATTAGTTATTTAGCAACCAGCCTTCTCATGGGTTCCAGTTGAGGAAGGATTCCCTGTTCAGACCAGATGCTGTGCAGCATTATATCTTTTGTACATGCTTCAGGAGTGAGCACAGAGGTCAAGCACTCTTTAAGAAAGATCACAATGGCATTTAGTCCACGTTAAGCCTGTAATTCAATACCAATACTTTCTAATCAATACACTGTTTCACAGCAGTAGCTAACAGAGCTAAACTGATAGGATCTGCTCAGCTAACATACATTTAAACCTAAATAGAAACACTCACTTGGAGTTTATCTCTGACACTGAATGAAGACTCACAGAGGTAATGAACTGTAGCAAAAACAATGGCAAGATTACTGAAGGAAAGAACTACTAATGTACTGGAAGATGTAAATAAAATTAGCAATGCCACATGGATCTCAGTGCATGAGACCTGTATAATTCATCTATTTTCTCTTACAGGTAATCACAGCATTAAGGTAAAACAGCTAGAACAGTTCAGTGGTGTAACTTTCTCACAAGAAGGGGTTTAGCATCACAGCAGATGCTGTAATTATTTCCCACCTTAGAATAAATATAGCTAATTCTTGGGACAGAAACAGAAGATGAGGAGGTACATTGTTAAACAGGATCCTAATGCACCTAACCTGCAATGAAGGAAATACTGTTTCCTTATTCACTGTACTGCAAAGTACTGAAGAAACATTTATTATCTACTAATGCCATCACATTAGTGATGATACCACCATGGAACTTAGGGGACCTCAGAATGGCTCTAAAACAGCATAAACCCAAAACTGTTGGCACATGACAAAAAACTATTTTATCATAGACTCCATACGTATTACTGTGCTGACCAAAGATGCAACCATGAAGTTTCTTGCTCCACTTTTGGTTTTCTTTCCAGGTGAAAAATTGTAAAAGCAGGGAGAAAAAAATTTAAAAACAACATACCACTTAACATGACAAAAGTAATACTGTATTAAGGGCTTCATTTTTTGTAAATCTGTTGACAAAATATTTTGAGTCAAAATATCTGAAGGATACTCAGTTATCCTTGATTTAAAAGATGATATTCTTGCCTTGTATAATTCTTTACTTTATGCAAGTACATCAGCTTGTGCATCCACTTTGGATATTAGTGGTCTTGCAAAAAAACTATACTGGTTGCAGGTCTTACATAAAATCAGACCTTCCAGCTATGCCTTTGAAGAGGAATGCTGAAATAAAATTGAAATAGATGTTATGGCATTATGTACTGAAGTCAAGAAGACCTTCTATGTGACTATATGAAAGACTATTAATTTATACTGAGACTTAAACAAACAATGTCTCTCTCTCTTTTCCCTCCCAATCCTCCCAAGTTCTAAAGTATTGTGGACAGCATTTGGCAGAGCAATTTCAGTGCTTTGACCTGAAACCAGAAAATAAAATCTCAAGCACATCATTAACAGGTTAAGTGAGATAAAATACCCGTTTTCTAGAATACAGAGAAAACCACAGGCCAGAAATTTTAAGATGAAAAAGTTACTTCCACAAAAATCTTTATCCTTCATGTCTGCACCTAAATAGCCCAATGACAGCTTTTTATGTTTTTAAAATCAAGTTCCAATAGACAGTCACCTAAAACTAGTACCATCCATATAAAGACATTGCAGCTGAAATAGAAGTTGCCTCTGTTCACTTGTCAGTATGTGACCAAACCCATTTAGCTATTTTCTAAAAGCTATTTAACAGTACAGAAAATATTATATACAAAATCTGAGGCTAAAATTCATGACAAAACTTTTCCTTGATAAAATTATTGCAAATAGCCTAGGATTCTGCAGTTAAATAGTCTATTTGGACTGTGTAATCCTAAACAACCAATAGCTTTCAGGTCTCAGTTAATTCTCAGGCACACCACCAATCTCATTGTCCAGATTTCCTGCAGAGCTTAACAAGTCTCCTAGCTGATTTTCAGAAGCTATTTTAGAACAGTCCTTCCCTGAAATCAGAAAACAGAGCATACATACACACCTATGCCATGCACCATTCCAAGCATGATTCAAGATCTTGCCTGAACACCCTATCTACAATCTCATGTTACTACAATCAAGGAAGCACCAAAGCTTACACACTGTTGCCCACTCTGGTCTGCAGAGTAAGAGGGATTGTTTATTTTCCTGGTACTATCTATTCCTAGATACTTCCTTCCTCCACTAGATACTTCTGGGGACAGCTGTGACTTTTTGTTTACATCCCCACTTCCCTTACAAATTTTCTTTGAATTCTGCTTTACTTAATACACACATTTTGTCAAGAACTTTTCCACTAATCAGCAATAATAAAAATTTATTCATATCAGATTAGATAGAAAAATAAGAAAGCAAATGAAAATAAAAAATTCAGAAGCCAAGAAAGGAAACAAAAATAAATTAAAATCAGTTTCCTAGCACTGCACCAGAGATTTTATGGGGGGGGAAGAGAAAAATGTTATGAGTAGCATAGTCAAACAACATGTAATCAAATAAAGTAATATCTGTTTTCTCTTTACTACTACACTGACCATCAATCATTTAACCAAGATGAAAACTCAAGTTCTCTAAAGGAATCTGTGTGAAGGGAAAATTAAGGCATCCATTGTTCACACAAGTATGTCTCATTTTAGATGATCACAGAACTTAAGGCTCTCTATAAAAAAACCCTCACACCTATGCATGAGGGCATTATGACAACCTCAGCAGCTAAAAATGCTGGCGACATTTGTGTTACAACTACATGTTGCCTTCAAAGTGTAACAGTTTAGTTCTGGCTAGGATGTATAAGACCTTTAGAGCTTTTTGAAAAGGGGTGCATTCATACAACCATACCTATTTCCACGTAGCGGTTTGGTAGGTCACGCATTTCACTGGCATGACGTTCTTTTACTGAGCAAATCTAGGAAACAGAAATTTGAATTGTTACAATAAGGAAACTGTAGTTCCTAAGATGATACTAGCTTTGCCTCAATAAGAAAAGGAATTTCTGGGAATTCTCAGACATGGATTTCTTTATTTTGAAAAACACAAGTTGTGAAACAGTAATGGTGCCTCAGTAAAGAAAACCACACAGAAAAGTTGTGGCTATAGCTCACAGCCTTATAAATATGCAGGGAGAGAAAAGGATCACATAAGAGAAATGTGAAAATATGTGCCCACTATGGTTTCTTCATAGAAGCATTTATATATGAATTTGGTTTTGGTGTCTTCTCACACTTTGCATCTCATTACCTTTCAAGGCACCTGATTCTTATTCAGTAAGTTTGCTATTGCTCCTGCCAGTTACAGGAGAGGAGTATGTACATACAAAGAAATGCAAATAACCAAATGTTGTGAAGCACACACAAATAGAAAGGGGAAGACAGATGCCAACCTTAGGACAAATCTCCTCATTTATAAAACTCTAAGCTTAATGCTCCAAAAGCTTTTTACATGTCACCTAACTCACTTTACCCTCCCTTTCCATCTATTTCTATCAGGCACTTTTAATTTCCCACTGTGCAGTGATGCAGTAGTCTGTTATTAGGAAACAGCTAACAGGCTTGTAACAAACTCATGTCAGGTGCCGGTCTGAGCAAATTATAATCAGTCTGCACCACACAAGTTTGAAATGCCAGTTTCCTGTTGAAAGATAACAAAACCCTAAGCAGTCTGTCCTTCCACCCACCCTTTTTTTTTTTTTTTTTTTTTTCACAAAATCATGTGGCTGTTTTAGTAGCTGCAACCTCCTCAGACCCCAAAGCAATCCCCTCCAAAAATACCTCATGGTAAGTTGTTCTTCCTTAATGCTAATCAAAAGAAATGAATTCAACAGTACACTAAAAGCTTTGAAGAGACGAAATCTCTCCAAGGCACAGAGGAACAAAATGTCCCTGAGGATTACATTCACTGCATGCTCTCACACAGAGATCTGTCTGGCTGCTGGGTGCCTATCACTCCTCCTCCTCATGAGGGTCAGTCCAATGACATTTCTAAGGCAGCGAGAGTTCTGAACACTGGTCAAACCAAATTCTATTTTTTTCGATTGTCTTTACTTTTCAGAAAAAATCCTCTGTTTGTCTGTGATAACAGCAAGCATTTATTATAAAGACAGGTAATTGCACCTTTACTGAATTTCCCCAGCCAATAATCAGCGTTAAATTATCCTTCCAGCAAAGGCTGCAGGGATACATATCTGGGCGAAGGCTTATGTCATCTCGAGGCACATTAGTAATTCTTTGCTTGGAGATCATGTCAAGTATCTTCACGCCCTGAAAGTTTAAAAACAAGAGAACTTTATTCAGTATGACAAACTCCTACTGCCCATTTTGGACACTAAGGCAGTCAGAGTGGTTTACAGAATAAATTTCAGAGCAGGGCTGAGTATGCCACCAGAAAAAACTGTTGATACAAAAAAACATCTAACCCAGGAGGTGACAAAAGGAGTAAAGGGATCAGAGTAATTTAGATGTTTTAAATTCACATGCCAAATAAAAAGACATAATAAGTGAATGAGTGACAGACTAGTAATTCCAGTCATGAACCAGTATGACTTATTTGGCTGGTGCTACTCCTGGAGAAATAAAAAGAATCACAGCTTTTTCACAACAGTCCCTGAGAGACACAGAAATTTCCACCTTGGAAAAAGAAAAACAACAGTTTATTAAGATAAACTAATTCAATCTCAAGATATGCATTTCTACTCTTATATTTAAACAGAAAAGCAGGCATATTTAAACAATGCTTGGTTTTCTATGCTGTGATTTTTCACTCCCTCCTCGGGAAATCTCTAAAGTAATAGAACAAGAAGTTAAAAACCAGGAAGATTAAAGTTGTTCAAGAGACAGAGGAAAAAAAGAACCAATAATTAGATTTTTCTGTGTTGTTTAGACAAGGTAAGCTATAACCTTTCCAATAGCAAAATTGAGATTAATTTCATGTTAAGTAATGACTTGTTCTTGGTAATTTAAAACAAAAGTCTCTAAAATAAAATATTTTAGTAGGGACTTTTTTGTTTAGAGAGTGAGTCTTCAAATCACAGAAAATGGGATGAAAAAGACCTTGAAAGGTCAGCATCCATCATGCCATGCCATGTTCGGTATTTCTAGTAGCCAAACTGATCTAAAAGATTTACCTGCCTATTTCTGTTCCCCCCATTGTGAGTTTCTATGTCCCCAGCTGTACAAATAGACAGATACAACTGTTTAAAAGTCTTGGGGGGTCATGGTCTAGGCCAGGTTTTGCAGGTTTTTTTTTTTTTAATCACAAGGAACAGAAAGTTGTATGGGGGTGGGTGACGGGATTTTTTTTCAGTAATCTTTGTCACTGAAGAACCGTGAGCATGGAACACACTTCTACTGGCACCTCATCAGCTAGCAGACATCAAGGTTTCAAAAACAAACGAACAACTTACACACAACATCTGCAATGCACAGATCCCAGACCTCTAGGTAACATAAACAAGCATCTAATCCTTTGTGTTTTCTAAGCTCATCTGATCAAATTTTTAACCTTGCTTGAATTGCATTTTAATAAAGTTGCTTTTTATAAATCTTACTACTTTGTCTCCAAGGAGGATTTTCAGTGACTTACATCACACCTTCTGTTTTTCTACATGGCAGCAAATCTTATATGGGACACACCAGCTCCTGTTTAAAGTGGCTTTCAAACTAACAGCATAGGATCTATTTGGTTTTAAGTGTTGAGAGACAGTTGTTTAATATAATAAGTTTTACGTAAGAGTAAGTTATTTAGAGTTATAATATCGTGTGATATAGTGTGCTGTTTGCTTAGCATGAGTAGCTGGATTTTTTTGAAGTCTTAGGCTGTAAGCTGTGAACTTATACCTAGACATGCTTTTGGCTAGTAAGTAATTATTAATTTATTTTCTTCTTAGCAGCTGGTACAGTGCGGAGTTATAGATTTACTCTAAGAATAATGTTGATGACTCACTGATATTTTAGTTGTTGCTATCTAATTTCCTATGCTCTGCCTGTCAACAGGTGCAGAAGAAGTGAGAAAGGAGTCAAAAAGACTTCTGTTGGCTCTTTGGAGCTGCCCATTGTAAAAGGATCCCAGTCCTTGAAGTTAAAACCTGGGGTGGTGTGTATGTGACTCCTTGAATGGTGTGAGAATGCTTGAGCAGTGGCTTCTCCTCTAGCAGGCATGCCATTTACATCATGAACTGAAAGGACTTCCACACGCAACTTTCTATCATGAAGGACCTAAAACCTGTCCAAATTGGAGTCCAGCAGCAAACTAAACTACCTCTAAGGATCTGTCCCCCAGATGTTTCAGTGCACTACTAGCCATGGAGGAAGGAGAAGAGAATAGCAGCCAACATGGGTTACCTACGCATCTGAAAAGCAGAATTAGACCTCGCCTAAATATAAAAACTAGGTGGCCATGCACACACACTAAGAAGCAAGGCTATAAACATTTTCTCTGATTTGGAAAACAAAAGTGTAACACAAAACCTTGCTAGAGAATGGAGTTTAGAAAGTTAAAGGGGAAGGGAAAGGGCAATAACCAAATATATTAATCTTCTGGAGGCCAAGTGTCATTTCATTTTTCTTTGAAAGATAGGCCCTGACCATGGCTTTTTGTCTCTGACAGATGGCTCTCAATGTTTTATTAGTATTCTGTGTTCTGATGTGGCACATCGTCTCTTGCTCTCGTCCTATCCATCCCAGCAGATACCTAGAATAAGCATTTTAATTGTATGGATCTGAAAAGAATAAAACCTTCAAAAAACCTAATGTTATGTCAATTAAGTCCTCAATGAAGCTTCCATTTTAATAGAGTTATTAAAGGGAAGCAAACAAAGGTCCACCTCTAACAATTTCATATCAAACTGGTTTTGAAAGATAAAAAAGAACAATGGTTTAAAATATGTTAATTAATTCCTCCCTTTAGGATGGAAAAACAATAGAAGGAAAAAAACCCTAGTGTTTCAGAAGTACTTTCACCACATTAAAAAATACTTTGGAATTTACACATGATACATACTTAAAAACATATCCCTCACTGGTGAGCTTCAAAACACAGAGCTTGACCCATCAATCAGATATACAGTGATAGGTTAAATATAACACTCTGAACGAATACAATGGTTTCCTTTAAAACTACACTTAGAACAAAAGGGACTTATCTCCTATTTTTTTCTAGTGGCCTAATAAAATGAGAAAGTATTATTGTATTTTTTTAATAATCTGCAACATTGAAAGTGCATACGACAATGTCATTTCACCACAAATTAAAAAATCCAGACAGTTTATATTTTTTGCAGGGTGTGGGAGTGGAGATGTTCTATTACTTATATAGAGAAGAATTATATTGGCATTCCTTCCTCAGTTTGCTTCAATAAACTGCACTAATCAAAATTCTAATTAGTAATAGTGTACATTAGTGACCACCACAGTGGTATGTAGAGCTACTTTCCTAATTCTTTCAGAAGTGGCAATCACATTGGAGAACCCTGACTAACCAGCAGGAAACAACAGAAGAAATTTCTACAAAGAAATGACATATAAACCACTATCTTTCAATAACTTTTATACCCACTTCTACAAATGCACAGTTTTTTAGCTGAATATTCTGGCAATTAGCATTGAAAAATTTCAGTGTAACACAGAGATATTTTTGTTCATTTAATGGAGGTGAAAAATACTTACCATATTATTAGCCCAAGCAATTAAGTGCCCTCTCCATTTTACATTTCTGATATTTCCTTCCCCTTCATGTAAAACCGAAGGCTTCCATCTATTCATCCAGCCTCTTTCATATAACAGCAACTATGAAGAAGTGCAACAATAAATATTTCTGTAACACAGTGCTGTGTGCAGACATGGAAATTATTTTTTCTTCATTATCCCTTACTCTGTTTGGATTTAAGGACAATGAAAAATACACACCTATCACAAAACAAAAGCAAATAAAATCAAACATTTTGACATAGTATATATACATCGAGCATCTTGCATATTACAGAATTCCTATTAAATTTTAATAATAATGAGGCCTTTCATCAAGTTTCTCCAAAGAACAGTAAGTATAATTATTTACCTTTTAAAGATAAAAAAATTCAAGTATTTCAGGACCTAAGTCTACAACACTGGTGACAACACTTCAGAAAATTGATAAAGAAACCAGGTCACCTCACTGATATCAAGATCCACCAATCTTGTCATAGACCCCTTCCCTCCAAAAAAAAGCAGGCAGTCAGTGAAAATTATCAAACATCCCCAAGGTTGTGACCCTTTGCCTGCCTCCATGTGGAACTACACAGCTTTCCACAGGGGTCTAGAGATGCTGTGTTTTAGTCCCACTTGTGCAAACTGCATTATACCACAAGTGCTGCTGATTGTAAAACTTGTGTGATTGGTAATCTCAGGTTCTGCAACTAAGGAAGGTATTTTAGAATATCTAAACGCATAGAAGATGTTATGAGATGCCTTTCAGCACCAAAGAAAAACCCAACTACGTGTAGAAAGTCTGCACAGAAAGACATTCCATAATGGTTGGTTGGAGTATGGTGCTAATAAAGTCAATGTTGCAGGTTCAATTAATTTATGGACAATTCACCTAAGAGTTGGACTTGATGATCCTTGTGGGTCCCTTCCAAATCAGAACATTCTAATTCTGTATGTCTCATTAAGTTATTCAATAGGATTACAGGGAATCACTCTGACAGATGCAAAGTGCAGCAACTGGAGGGATACCTAAATAAGAAGCTGAAGCATCTACAGAGATCATGCTCTAAGGTACCACTCCTGCTAACTTTTGCATGAGTACACACACATATGAACATATGCACAACCTGGACCCAAGCTCACACCTCTCACTGGAAGTTGTGAAACAGCTGCCTGCAAGGATTTCTACCATGCTAAAGCCCAATGGAGTACTTTTCTTGCTAATATTTCCTAAGATCCAGCTGTATGCAATTCTTTTATATATCGTTTCCTGCCACTTGTATTTGGATAAATACATCAAATGTTAGGACACCAGTTGTTTAAAATAAGAACTTTCAGGAAAATATAAGATTTTAATGGCAATTCTCAGACTGACTCTCTCTCTCTCTCTCTCTCTCGCTCTCTCCTAAAGCCACCAGATGGCACCAGAAGACAAGTATTTTCTCGAAGAGTTTAAAGCAAGCAGTAGGTAAGGCAGTCTATTGAGAAATTTTTGTGTGAACTGCACTGCAGACATCAAACTTTTAATTCAAGCAAAGTGATTTTGTGTCCTTTACATAGGTCACATGAAGGCCCAACTTTTAGACAGTATAGATTACCCCCCACCCCGCATATGAAAAGGCTACTAAGTCTTACAGAACATGTTATTTTACAGCTACCAGGGCAAGCCACTGAAAACAGTGTAACATCTATGCCCACAAGTCAGTGCTACATGGGGGGATTTCCATTAGAAGACTGGTACATAGATAGCAACCCTCAGCTCAAATGAATGGTCTCCACTCAGATGCTAAAGATGTCATTAAAAAATAAGTACTGTGCTGATTCAGACTTGAAAATTACTTTTTTTCCTAGTGTACTAACGCCTAAGGAGAAGCTGGACAGAAGAAGAACTGCTGCTTGGATGCTTCATTCAATACCATCCAATAAAGGCAGCAGCAAAACACATGGTATATTGCATTACTGGACAAAGCTCCAAAAACTTATGTGGATCATGTGAAAGGTCAAACCTAGCTGATGTCAATTATATTAATTTTACTTGTAATTTTTTCTGCTTGTGACTGAATCATGATTTGAGTTAATTTATTATACTCAAGCTCCAGAGCAAACCTGGTATGACACTTTGCATGTTTTTTGTTATTCATGGTTTGTGAATATCATGCTTTTTCATGACTCTGAATAACAAACTGCCAGGAAAAGTAAGTGATCTGAGAAAGAACTATTGAAGAGAGAAGAATAATTTGAAAAATCCTGTCTATGCTCAACTCTAAGAGCAGAAACTTTCAGATCAAGGCAGTAGAAGACAACAGGCTGGCACCACCTATAAGAAGGATGGAAAATGAATCTGAATCACTGAATCACCCCACCATTCCCCATTTCAGTTCAGTAAATGAAACAGGCCCAGCACTGAGGCTAAAACTTCGCACTGTGGCATCAAAAAAATACGTAATCTCAAAACATGCTTAACTAAGTTATCTTCAGTGCAATTATCTGCATGCTATTGATATACATACTGTGATTTCTTTATTATTTCTTAGAGCAATGACACCTGGAAACTGAATTTGTGAACCCAGAACTTTCCTGTGTGTTTTGGAACTGTTGTCTGCTAAAGGCATCTCTCTCAAAAAAAGCAGCACCATTTCTTTCTTAGTATTCCTTTATGTCTCCACATTGAAATGTTGATCACACCAGAAAGTAATTAAAAACTTCAGAAGAAGACTTGTAAGAAGAAATCCACAGTTTCTTTGGGGCTCTTTCTACCACCTCCCTCTCTTTTTGGTAGGGGAAAAATACTGTAGGACTTTATTTGCCATAAATCCTATATTATGGTAGTCAGCATTCACAGTACTTATATTTCACCAGCAGCCAAAATCCCACTTTCTCGGCTTCTCCGCAATAGTTTGTTTCCCTCGTTTTTCATTTGTTCATATAAAACTTTCTAGTCCTTTGTTAACTACAATACAGTTGTGCTTAGAACACTCTTCTAGTGCATCTTGCATGCACCACAATTTGATAATACAGCTAAAATAAAATAACCTTTAGCTTCAAGGTCCCAAACCACACTGCTTCATAGTACATTGCAATCTTCTGTTAGATTACTAATTATTTTGTGAGTCTTCTTAACTGCTTATAATTGTCCACCAGATCATTAAGAAAAATGTATGAGATGTATGAGATGGAGCTGGACACTTTCTGGTTTTTAAAATAAGTGGACATATTTCTCTTGGATTAATACATCTCTAACATACCTTTGTCTAACAGGAGATTAACCCACACCAAAAACTCTATTTTAGAGTGCATTCACTAAAGAGAATAGATGAGTGCTTGGACTTAATGGAGCCTGTAATGCAATTAGCATTAACACTAATTACACGTAATCCCGGTCTTAAGCTATGTACAGGAATTCCCAATCCTCTGAACAAAAAGGTGAATGATTGCAACTTTGGTATATCAACATGTTGAAGTAATTAAATTTAATTTATTCTCATTACCAATTACTAGCTTCAATATACTAATAATATTAGTACTATTAATATTATTATATATTATATTAATATTATACCATAAATAAGAGATATCTGTTCTCACAGAAATTTCAAAGGAAACACACTTTTAATGATGCCCAGCATCACTACTTTGTTTCAACACAGTGTCTTTTGTGTAAAGATTTGAAGACGTTTTAGTGAAGAAAAAATGGCTTAAGATTTCAATTTGTAACTGAAGAGCCACTTTTCCAATCCCTGCTGCAGAACTGTTGGAATAGTTTTTATTTCACAAGATAAAAATCAGGAATAAAGACTCTGTAATTTTTTTGTTCTGTTCTTTGTCTAAGTGTGAAGATAAGCCTACCTGTGGCACTTGTCCTGTGTTTCGATGCCTGTCACCACTTTCACCTCAGCTAGGCCAGACCACAAAAATCTAAAATACTATTTCCATGGTTACAAGTGATCACTACAGTTATTTATTGTTTTCAGCATAAAACTAATATTTACAGGCACAGCCAAGATTAACAGATACCACAGAGTAACACAGAACAGCATGCTGCATGAAGACTTACTGTTTAATAGCTCATCCCTAGGAAAACATATAGCAACAATAAAAAATTATACTTTGTATTTGAAACAGACGATGGACTGGATGAGCTCAAACAAGGCAGAGAATAATGTAAGCCTCAAGCTTTCAGCTGAAGATGAGCTTTCAAGATTTCGTCACAGAATGTTGTCTAAGGAGCTGGGGTGTGAACAGAGAGGAGGGCAGTAAGTGCAGTCAAGGGAAATCAAGCAAGGAGGCAGAGGCAGACAGCAGCATCAGGAGCTACGCAATGGCAAGAGTGAGAGATGAAACAGGAGCTACTGCTCTAGTTCATGGACAGAGAAGCTAGAAATTTAGAGATGTTTAATACAAACAAATGCCACAAGACTTTTTTTAGGCTTCACTTTTAATAACTCAACTGCCATATTCCATCTGTTGCCTATTCACAAAGAGCTACAGAATTAACACCTTGAAAAGCAAATCCTGCACTCTTGCAGGCAGAGAGAGACACATTTCATACACTTAGATCCTCTTTGCTTGCCACCTCAGGCAATGGAAAAAAGGGTTCTACACAGACATTTGTAAAACACACAACTATAGATTACATGCACATAGGACTATGATCCATTTCCTTTACACAAACAAAATTTATTAGCACAAGGAGAATTTTTGTTTTAGTGATAAAGAAGAAATGCATATCCAAATACCCATAAAGAAGAAATGTAAGCAAAAAAAATGCTTATTAAGCAAACAGGATATACTATGTATGTCTCATCTGCTCAATAATATGGGATACATCTGGGCATTATATATTGCAGCAAGGAAATCGCAGACCAGTATTATTGTGGTTTGCTTGCTGCTACAGTTTGTTTCCTACTTATGGTAAATTATCCAATGCATGTACAGAAATTACCACAGTATTTACTCCTTCTTCACTTAAATCAGACCTTTGAGTATTTACTGAGTGACATTTTATAGCTTGCAAAGCAATCTGCCTTTCTTGTCTGGTACTCTTCTATCCAACATAATGCCAAACAGCTGACTATCTGCTTTCTAAAAATGGACTGTGCTGCAAACAGCATCCTGACAATTTAATAATTTGTCAAAATAGTTCAGTTATTATGAAGTACATATCAGAGGTAAGGGTTCAGAGGTAAGGTCATCTACTTACTCACCATGCAAAATGCATCTGCTAACACTAAAAAGCAATGATTAAAAAACTGAGACATTCCTTGCCACACTTGACTTTAATGCACAAATTCCACTACCCCTAACAGCAGTCACAGATCCCAGGAATGCTATTTCTCTTCCCATTTATGCACTGTTTGCAATCACCATCCTTTCTCTGTGTATGTTGCTCCACCTGGAGTAGAAAAGAATTTAGAATGTCTCGTTTTGCTTTTCAGGCAAGAGTTACTATGGATCCAGAATTCTGACACAGAAATAGGTTTGTTTGGTATTTTTTTAGATGAGAAATTTGCCCCAGGTAACACTAAGCTCTCTCTACTTTTATAAAAGACAAAGAAAAAAAGAGTCTAATATTTAAACACAAGCACTGATATGTTCAAATGTTAATTTTGGGAGGATAAATAGGACAAACATGATCAAACACATCTGTATTTAAACACCAGTTCTTAAAATGCATCTTCTGCAGCAAAAGAAACACAGACACTATTAATGTTTTTATACATATTTCCATTATATTTTAATGTTTATTTTTATATACATATATCTATATAAAACCCATTAATATATTATGTAGATATAGACACAGATAGATATAGAGAGATGAGAAAGTCACAGGGTAAATCTGCAGTTTTATTTTGGTTCTCTAGCCCTTAAAATGTTTCAGACTGGATATGCAAATCAATACTTATTATACAAAATGTATGTCCTAGAAAACGGAGGAGTCCCAGTCCAGTATGATACGGAACATTCCACCTCTATACTTCAGAATACACTTGCTCAATTTGTGTTGGGTCCCCATTACCACGCTAGGTAGAGGAGACTCAAAAAAACCCTTCATTAGCAGACATTCAGCAGTAACTCAATTACTTCAGAGGACTCACTCCCCTACGAGTTTCATTAAAAAACCTTTGTGTTTAGTTATTGACACTAATAGGGATTATGTCTCTGCCAAGAGAGGAATCTCAACTTGTCCTGCTCTCCTTAAGTTATCTTTACACAAATCACAGTAGCTGATACCTTGACTCTGGAACTGAAATAACCTTCAGCCTTCTTTCTTTGTTAGGTGTGTCTGTTTAACCCTCATGACATAATGGATACTTGGACTTCACAAAAATGTTCATTTAGTTGATGTACTGGGAAAGACCAGCACTCTAAGAGTTAAATCAAGAACACCTTGTTTTCAGCTTTACCACTCTCATTTAGTTGGCTTTTACCCTGTTATTTTTTGAGATTAGACCCTTTTTTAAAAGGTAGAAGGTTATGGCCTTCAATAGCACAGTATTTGTCTCTTTCCTTGCTTTGAAGCTCTATTGTCTGCTCTGGACAGAAATGCCCTGTTATTTACAATATATAGTATTATTATTTCAGGGTTACTATCATCTGCCAAATCAGCACAATGGTGCTGTGGTTAATTGCAGAGATGAGGAGGGGAATAGGGAAGCACCTCCTTTTAGTATGGTACCTATTGCTTCTCAATGCAATAGTGTCAATTTCCACAGTACCTGTCTTATTTCTAGGCACAGATAATATTTATTCACTTAGGAAAAGGGGTGAAATAAGCTTTACCAACACAAAATATTATCTCAAGCTTAACAGAATTTCTTTTCTTTTAAAAGCTAGTGCTTTAATAAGCAAGTGATTTAATGAGTTTATAATACGTTTTAGAGAAAAGCTTCTCTGCATGCCTACTTAAGCAAAGTTAAGCAACCATATAAACATATGCACAATAGAGTTAAGCTTACAACAATTCACAATGATTACCCCAGTTACCCCAGGGAGCACTGCTCTTAAGTCAGCTTTAGGTCAGGCTGAGCTTCTAAGACGTAGCAAATCCCAGCATTACACAGCAATCCACCCAAGTTCCAGACATCCACCCATGTAGGGAACTGAGGACCTGCACTGTTCATCTCTGAAGCATGTCATTAGGGTTTTTCCCCCTCCTTCTATCTCTTGAACATTTATTTCCAGGATGTCCTGAGTGGATCTTAGAACTGAAAAATGTATTTTTTACACATTTTATATTGTTATGAAGAATATTTTTCTAAAAAAATAAAGGACAACCAAACAAGAAAACCCACTCAACTTTAGAAATGCTTATATATGTTATGTCATCATTCCCAAAAAAACAGAAACACAGACAGACCCAGCAAGCCTTTGGATTAAGAGATCACATGATACATACTGTGTTTTTTCCATGCACCTCAGGCAAGGAGCATAGCATGAGAGCTTTAAGCAAAGCTTTTCTTTAAAGTTTGATCCCAAATGAAGATACTGTTACCCTTGGTGAGGATGAGGACAACAAGCACCATGCCTCTCACCACCAGCTATAAGGGATAAAGTTCCTAAACATATACAAAGGCTGAAAGTGCACTGACCTCAGGAGCCACAGGAGGACCTGTCCTCCTTCCTGAAGGAGCTCCCCTTGGTTGCTTAACTTTGCTTAAGTAGGCACAATCCCCAGACACGGGGAGAGAGCGGTGAGGTCCACAGCCTTGAGGCTGTATGCTTCAGCCTGCTTCTCCTCACTCTTGTGTTCAGATCCCTGTTGCCTGCTGCCTCCATACTACACTTTGGCTTTACAGTTAAGGAGGGGTGTAAATGTTCAGGAAAAAACAAACAAACAAACAAACAAAAAAAAACACCCCAAAAAACAAAGCACAAAGTAGCTTTCTTAGTTGGTGGAATTTAGCTTCCTGAATTTTCAGAAAGCATTTTGTTGTTGCTTTCATGAAAGCATGTATACTCCTTTTGGAGGAAAGGCTCCTACCACAAGGCTAGAGGTTTTATTTGTTGGTCTTCTGTACCAATAAAATCAAATTACAGGTGTCAAGGGACATTTGTTTCAATGCTAAATACCTTATGTTAAGATGTCAATTAAAGTTTTTCTGAGGAGGAAAGTTCCTCAGCAAAGCATGAATGTATTAAGAATGAGTATACCATTCCCCAGAGGACAGAATATAAAACAACCTGTCAAGTAATCAAAGATAACCAAAGAGAATGTGTTAACTCCCTGATGTTTTTTTCTGTTCGGCATCAGGTGAATGCAAGATCTTTTACCACCTGACGGAGCCCTGTTCTATTAATTCCTTGCTTCTCTCTTTCCATGCCCCTTTTATCAGCACTAAAAAGCTTCACAAACTGGTGGCTGACACAGACACACACTGACTGTGCATTATTTTAAGGACAACACCAACTTCTACCAGCCAGAAAGAGCTGTCAAGCACGACTTAAATAAATAAAGCACAGCTATGCTTTGAAACATATTGAACTGTTAATGAAAATTAAGATGTATTCAGCACTAGAAGCCTGTAGCTCTTACATACTGGTAAGAGAGAGCAATGGCATTTTGTTTGATGCATCTGTGAGGATTGCTCATCCTTAACTCATAACAGAAGGCAACAGAAAATTCATGAAATCAAGAAACTGTTCCAAATAAAATTTCGTGTTTTGACTGAAAATATGCAATGTGATATAAGATACTTGTAAGACCTGGAAACAGCTGCAATCTGGAAGAAAGAATTGTATCCTACACTAATACACATTTAAAACACCAACTGAATCCAAACAGAAGACTACCTAGAGATGTAAGTGCTTAGAATGGGGTAAGCTCTACCATACCAGGAACTCCCTAGTTAATTTTAAGAAAACCAACAAAACCCCATGGACAAGAGCTGATGAAGATACTTGGATTTATCTCCTTAAAATAAAATCTCAAACAAACAAACAAACAAAACCCCACCCCAAAAAGTCACCCACAGGTAACCCAAGATCAACATGCTTTGTAAGAGATCAGGTTTAAGGTCTAACCTCTGCTCCCACTTCAACAGATTAAAACGGAGAAAATCTAGCCTAGGAAATATAAATTACCTGTTTTTCAGGCTATGTAGACAAAATGGTATTTCTACTCTGAATCTCAACTTGCTGCAACATGTTTTTAACATAAAAAGCACACTTTCTCTCCCCCTGAAATATCTTTTAATTAACAACAATTTAGAATACAATGCATAAAGAGAAGGAAAAAGCAGAAGTCTTTGTTCTAGGTGTTAAAAGTCACATACATAACCTTCTGAGCTATATCAAAGGGCTATTTATAGGTAGCCAAAGTTCATTGTGAATGCTTACCTTCTTTCCTCCTGTTACAAATTGCTTGAAGTGGGATCTTACGAAATGAGGATGAACAGCAACAATCTGGAGATGGTGGGGGAAGGGGGAAAGAGAGGGCTGTGACTTAGATAAGAATTTACATGAAGCACAACATCAGTTTTTAAACTAAATAACCTTTTGTCAATTATCAAGAATTACAGCTGAGTTCCTTCTCTGAAGTAAAGCCTAGTTGTTTCAGACATTTGTTTGCTTTTCCTAGAAGAGAAGACAATTCTTCATATTATATTCTGTATGACAAGTGTGATACTGAGGGTCATGTTACACTGAATGTGTACATTCAGTACAGAAAACACTACTTTTCTGTACAGCAGGCTGTAGAATTAGGGCCAAACAGAACAGGACTGCTGCAAGCAAGAGTTACCACAATTACATCTGGTCTGGGGTCTGCCTAAAAGGCACACACACCTCAGCCCTGTCAGAGGACAATATTATGTAGCATCTTACAAAGTCTCTTTGCCTTACATTTTACATGACAAGTGTGGAGATCCAGCTGCATGAGTAGTAAAGGCCTTAGGAGGCAAGTGAGTCACATCTGGCATGTGTGAAAACTTAATGATCCCATTCCTTTCCCCGCACCCTAAAGAGCAGCTGCAACATGGAAGATCCCAAGCAGCTAAATGCAAACATTTGCCCCCATCATCTTTTCTCCTGCAAGATAAGTTTGCTGTTAAAAAGATTTTCCCAATACCTAGTGGAGGTCCTTTTTTTTCAACAGCCAGGCAGACACACTTCTCTAAAGCGGAGTTGAACTCAAGTTTTCCCTTCAAATAGGATACATCAATATCACTGCCCATTGCCTTATTTTCAGGAAGGTTTAATGGATATAAACTGGTTTTAAAATATTGACCTCACATTTAGCAGAACTCTTAGAATTTGTATCACAAGTCTACAAAGAAATGTTGAGATGGGTAAACCTGAAACAGGACAATTTCTCTTTCACTTTCCCTTTTATATTTGAATAACTCTGTAACACTTCTTACAAAACCAAGATTGGCTTTCTTCCTACCTAACCAGATCAAAAGCTTTTATATTGAGACAGAAAACTGTTTTCTAGTGACTTGAATAACATTGCAAGGAAGTGGTATTCCTCTCTCTCATTTAGATTGAATGTGACCTTTCTGTTATTAAAGACAACACCACCGCAATTACTAAAGATTAAAACAAGCACTTACTTTAATAGGACAGTCAAACGTTTCATGAAACTCTTCTGCTGAATATAATCCAAACACTTGAACCTGAAAAAGTATATTGAAAAACCAAAGTTATTTACCTAATTTACACTGAACAATTAACATTGAAAGTAAAAACATAACAACTAGAAGATTAATTTGAATGCTAACAGTAACATTTTTTTTCCTTAAGGAGAAGAAGACACAATTAACAATTCAGAACTAATTGATATAGTCCGGTATTCTACTGTGACATATCTCTAATTTGCAGCAGTACAGAAGTACTTTTATGAATATTTTTCCTCTTTTTTTTTTTGTTACAATCACAGTAAAAACAATAAGTTCCTTTTGCTTTAGGCTGATCAAATCTGTTTAACAGATAGGAACCTAACTATGATAAAAGCAACAGAATAACATTCAGGAGAAAATAAATTAAAAATTCTTCCTTTCTGAGAAAGAATGGTAGGATTTTTTCCCTCCAAGCAATACAGGGTTTACATAAGAAGTTTGTGACAATAAAGCAGAACCAGCCTGTAATCCAAGTTCCATATATTTCTAGGCATCCTCTCCTCCTCCCAAGTGCATACAGTACTATTTTGTTTTATTCCATGATCACTGGAAATGTCTTTCTGTGAAGATTCCTCCCTTCTCATTTGTATCGAGGTAGCAGACCATTTAACAGTCAGCAACAGAGTTGCAACCATAGGCAATCATAGTATCTATCAGAATTAATCCGTCTGAAGAAGCGTCAATATTGAATTTAAAAAAAAAAAGTTTCTACTGTCAAGAGAATGAACAGATTTTTTAAATGTTTCCTTGTCTCTAGTTCAAGTACAGAGATATCAAGTGTTTATGAAATATTGTTAGACTCAGATGATATGACTACAGAATAAGGTATCTTCAAGATTTTTTTAAGTGCAGCCCTCTTTTGGACTCATGTCTACTCATTCAATACACAATATTCCCTTTCCTAACTCTCAGATGAGACAGTTGACAATCTGATTCCTGAAGAACTTAGGAATGAAATGGGGCTGAAGACTTATGGCCAGGAATTAGCAACTGATTTACTAGCTATGATTTCCAGAAAAAATAATAACTGGCTTGCTTTTTCATTATGTTTTTAAGAGGTTTCCACCCTCTGTCAGAAGTTGTTGAAACAAACTCATCTGAGGAGGGATAGACACCACTGGAGGAAGGGAGAAAAAAGAGCATCTCATGGAGCAATGTATCTGACAGCAGATCTATTTAAGGAGGCTCTCAGACAGGCTTCCATTATTTTCTGGAAAATTTTCTGATAAAGGTAATTCCTTCAGTAACTCTGCTCTGCATGTTCAGCATTGTACCCAATGCTTTTAACCTTATTTCTTTCTTCCCATCATGATTCCTTCAGGGGAAAAATAATTTTTAAAAAAATAGTAACAAGAAAATATAAATCCCTTTAGAGGGAAGCCTGAAGAATAAAGTCAGTAAATATCAGTAATGGGCCACAAAAAGTGAGGCTTAATTGCTCTAAAAAGATCAATTCAGAGCACAAGAACCCCCAAAATTCCTGCAGACAGTTATGAAGACAGAGCAAAAATATTAAACTTCAGGGAAACTACAAGAGGAACTAAGTCATCAGCAAGGAAGTAGGACATCCTTAGAGTGGCTCCAAATTCAGCAGTCTCAGTGAAGTTAAAAACATCTCCACCATCTCCTTTCAAGCTTGTCTCCTGGATACATCTCCTAAGCAGCATTATCAGCTCAGTCCATTACTCATTAGCGAATATACTGCCCCTAACAACATGCTTTAAAAATACTTCTGCATGCACTGTGTCGGGCTGAGCTACTGCTCCAAAGGATTAGAAAAATCAATATTTGGAGACTGTGAGATGTATCACAAAGCTGTGATTATGTAAGCCAGCCAAAGGGTTGTATTTGAATTGGACCTGGCTGTAAGCCTAGAAAACCTTTGGGCTGATGTCTAGAGGATTTTGTTTTCTGGGTTTTCATCAGTTGGCACATCATATTCAATACAACAGCCTACATAAAGTAAGAAACAGAGGAAAGAGAATATAAGAAAATAAGACAGAAAAGAGAAAGCAGAAAAAAAATACATGGCTAAAACATAACACTAGAAATTCTGTGAAAGCAGAATCCTCAAAAATTACAAAATAGCCTTCTCAAATTAAAAGCAATTAATCAAAATTAGCAACAGTGCCTTTAACATTTTCCTAATATATCACTGAATACGGCAATATGATATTTCTTTTAGAGTATGACAACAAAATGGAATGGGCTAAGAGGAAAAAACAACTCTGCAGAAAATACATGTTATCATGTTTACTCTAGGGACATCATCTAACAGTTTATTACTTCTTAATGTCTCATAGTCTTCAGAAAGAAAGTGATTCTTTAGCTATTACAAACCTATATTGGATTTATCTATTTCTGCTTTCCAAGCCCACTCTGTTCACAATGCTCTTAGGCAGCTGGAAAAAAGTATTTTATGATTCTACTACATTTTGCTAGTCCTGTCTGATTTTAAACATCCAGAACCCACCACTCCAGTGCATGCAGACTTAGCTGCTTCTTTGCTTCCACATGTGGAAGAAGTAATCAACCATCAGTGTTCAAAAGGCAGGAAAACAAGTCATATTTCTTCAAAAAATGTGTCATACTTCACAGATATTCTTAACATCAATGCTGTTACAGGCATTAGAGATGACACTAAAACATGCAAGCACATGGGTTTTCAATGAAATTTATATTTCTTCATTTAAAAAAACCTTACAAGCCAGCATAAGGGTGCCAGTTACACTCTTCTTATGTAATCATATGGGAGCTTTAGCAAAATCGGGAGTCAAATCCAGGTTTTTCAAGACAATTAACTACGTTCAAAACTAACACAAAAAAACTAAAAGTCTCCACAATTCTGAAGATGCAAGCCTGCTTCCAGTTCTATTTATATGAGCACCGAAATTGTCTTACACCCTAACATTTCAATACCCAGCAGATAGATTAGAGGGTTAATACTAGTTATGATTTCTGCTCCTTTCCATGCCAGTGGTGATCAGCTACAGCTGACTTCATTAGAAAGGATGGTTTTCAAAGAACCAAATGTGTAAGACAGAAAATGTGCAAGTGGTTCTCAAAGCATTTGTTGGACATGTATGACATACATGCAATGGGTTTTGACATTGGGTCTGGATGTTGACTGTCAAGAAAAGGGTTAGAAAATTGTACTGTGCTTCTGTGCTCTCCCTGCAGTCTACACAGCTAGATCAAATCTAGTTTGAGGGTCAGAAAAAAAAAATAGTAGTAAAATAGTAGTAGTAAAATAAAATATAACAGTCAACAGAAGATACGAGGAGGAGGTCCTCATCGTAAAGCCTTCCCTCAAGAAAATAAATGGTTTCCATCTCTACCATATTGGACTCACTTTGATATGTGAAAATGCACTCTGCTTATCACAAAAGAGAACACATCTTCATTAATTGGTAGAATATACTTGCAGCTGACTCAGAATTCCCAGGCCTCTTCATCACATCTGCTTTTTTCTTTAAAACTGATTTAAGAAAATTAACCTGTTTTACTTTACTGCTTCACTGTTTTTCCCCCTTGTTTTTTGGTTTTTTTAAAAGTATTTCACCACTTTTACAATACTGAATCAAGTTAATAATGACTTTGTAACTACTTGTACAACTATTTTAACTTCTTACAATATCAACACTCCCACCATAGTAAGGAAAGAGCTATAAGGAATGAAAGTGACACTTTTGTAATGACCAGAACCCAGAAGTGCTACATTATCTAGCCAGGAATCTGCCATTTTCTTATACAGTAGCACAACATACAAGTATGTATTTTAATCAATTTTAGGAGTATATTATTTCACAGACACGAGCCTTTCTGGATCACATGGAAAATCTAACTTCTAAAATACCCAAATCTTTCAAATCTCCAGATGAGGTTTTCACAAATGTAAGAATATGGTGAAGCATCAATGTCCCCGGACTCTAAAAATGCAAATATACTGAATATTTTACTTGTGATACTCCATCCCTGTGGCCATGGGACTATATTTTAGACCGCCTTTTATAGTATGCAATGTCACACACTACATCCACAATAGCTATTTCACTAAATGAAGACAGTCGCCATTTAAAGTATTGAAGTTTCTTCAAGGAGAGCCACACCAGAGTAGGGACTATGGGGCTTTTAGCATTTCTGAAATTAAGTATATTTAATATTAACTTAGTATACAAAAAAAAATGTGTATGGCTTGCTGCCTCACTGCAGCATAGTGGATACTGACAGTCATCCACAGTCACATCTGAGGAGCCCTTACAGCAACAGCATGGGCTTGCTCCCCAACACCACAGGAAAACCTAAACCAACAATGCTAGCTCAACGTTTTTATTAGCCTGCACAATTACTGACCCCTGCCTTATTTTGCTTAGACAAATAGGATACTCTTGTGGTGTTTCACACAGGATGTAAAATTCTACAACCACTTTGATAGGCACTAGTATCCTAATTACTGTGTCAAGACAGTGACATCAAGATATCTCTCAGAAATAAGAGGCCTGGATACACAAACTGTCTGTCTGCATGTTGAGGGAAAAATAAAAACGTATTTGGAGTGAAAAAAACCAAATGTATACAGTCTAAAGGGGTTGTTTCCCCATTTTTCCTATTGCAAAATCCAGTTGTATTTTAATTTAGAGAACTTCTACTGAATGCAGCACTCCTCCTCCCCCAAATCTACTGTGTAAGAAATGTTCTCCTGAGTAAGTAAATTGGATATTGAGAAATTATTGAAATGATTTTTAATGTACTGCATTTGTATATGGGCACGATATTAAAAAAGAAGCTTAAATACACTCTGTGAATTAGAATTTTATCATTGCAAACCAACATTAGAAAACACTGTCATTGACTGAAAAAACAAAAAGACATTCTTATAACTAGAAAATCAATCACCAAAACCACTAAATGTCACAGCTCAACATTCCAGAGAAGCACTGATAATTGTTAGTTACACACTACACAAATGATGCATGTCTTCAGCCAAGGAAGTAGGTGTCAGTTTTTTAGGAAACTGTACATATATTGATTTTACATTTATTTAACGTGGCTGTTGTAAGACACTTTATTCTTCTGATAAACTATGATTGTTTATCAAAAGATTCTGTAATTCAAGAGAAACTGTCCTGGGGTGACTTTATGATACTGGTATCCCCAATCGTCTGGTTTATGTTATATATTAAGTTCTGCACCTTTAAGACTGGCTTTGAGAGCAAGAGAGGGGGAAGAAGAAGCGCGCAGTTTGTGTTAAGGAAAAACATCACTCCCACACATCCCGCTCCTGGACTGTGGTGTCTGCAGCACGGACAGACAGCGGGACAGAGCTTCTCTCTGGATTTTAGTTAGTTTTAGCTAGCTGAGGCAGAGGAGTTCCCTAGACCTTTGTTTGTTTTTTTTCCCAATTTTCTTGGATCTGTGCAAGCCTGCTCTGGACTGAACACCCAGCCAAACCCCGGGAGCTCACGCCTGTGGCCCACCGGGGCCTGGGCCTCGGCACTTTCCAGCGCCGGAGGGACTGATAAGAACCTGAGCGAGCCGAGCTACACCACATGAAAAGGACTTTTCTTCCTAGACTTGCCATCCCATCGAACAGCAAGAGGTTTTATTATTTAATATTAATCAATTTCTGTTAAATAAACAGCTTTTTCCACTTCTCTCTAAGGAATTTTTTTTCTTTTCCCGGACCAGTTAGTGGGGAGGGGCATTTCCCTGGGGAAATCCCCATTTGGAGTTTTCCTTCCTAATTTGCCCTAAACTAAGACAGAAACATTCATAAAGTGTGTGAAAATGAAAACCACCAGCCCACAGAAATCATGTCCACAAAATCCAATTTTGTGGATTTATAGCAGAAAGGCATTAAACTACTGTCTTGCAGGAACAGCAGAGTAGTCACTGAAGTATAACTGGCACAGCAGTAATGATTAAGTTGACATGTCCTCCTGTCACAGCTGTTAATCAGCTTAATAGCAGTTACATTATTGACATTCTTGTAATTACTTTTCCTACAGCATATTTGTGCAAAATATATTTGACTTTAATTTTAAGTATTCAAAGGTGAGTTCAGTTCTCAGTATGTATGGTCAAAATAGTGGTACTAAATGCAGGATTCAAATCCATATGTTACCACTATTATCTTAGTGTTAATACTAGGACTACCTGCTACCTCAGCAAATATATAAATAGATTTGTTGTACCTTCCCATCTTCTGAGCAAACACCCATGTGTTCTCCACTTTCATCCAGGCTGATCTGATTTATCTTTACTGGGCTCTAGAGAAAGAAAACAAACAAGAAATACTTTTAAAGTTACATCACAAATTACACACTTTAACATTCCTTGCACAATGGAATATTTACATGTTAACAACTAAGTAATGTTTAGTTGCATGAACCAAAAAACACAGAATAGGTATTTCCGTGACAAAGCCAAAAGACAGTCTTCTTTCTAGCCTTCTGCCCAGCTCTAAAATTTTAACTTTCCTTTTGCAGTTGCCTGCCTCAGGGCTCTGGAAGTCTCATGAAGTCCCAGGCTCCCAGACTTTAAGCATCTGTGCCTGTGCACCATGGCTATTGGTTCCCACTATCAAAACTTTGGATATAATGGTGACCACAAAGGCATCAGTGCAACTGAAAACTTCTCTAGTTTGGTCTGATGGCTAGGCTTGTAATTATTTCTTTCTTCAAATTCCTTCTCTTACTTTCATTTTTGTCTCTAATACTGTTCTCAGAAGTGAGTATTAGAAGGTAGTGAAGTGCAACACAGGTTTTCCTTCTTAGACAAATATAGAGAAAAGCCAGAAAACTGTCCCAATTTAATAAATTTTCCCTGCCCTATCCAAATATACTTTTGGTTCTGACCTACAGGGTTCGACAGCATCTGCTATTGTTTACTTAAATAGCTATTCATACCTGCAGTACAGAGGACTAACTTATCATTTGGATAACCCGATGCATATCCCCTTGCATATAAAACCCAATCCAATTATATTCAAGTACCAAGAAATTTCTTATGTATCATGATCCTGATATCACCCTCTGTAACAAATAGCTAATCATTTCAAGAATCACTAAAGGATCTTCACACAGTTAAGTCTCTCACACTTTTAAGAACAACTTTTCTTATTCTCATAAAATATTGAATGGATTGAACCACAACTTAGATCACTCCTATGATTCTGACTATGATAAAATAAATCCATTGTATGTTTGTATAAAAAATAAAAAAATAAAGTGCCACTGGAAAAGCACTGGAGTTGTGGGATCACATTAGATGTTACACAACTATGTCTGAAGGATCACAGGTTCTTATATATGCTGTGGCAGTTGGAATTGCATTAAAAGTATATAATAAGTATATAAAAACACACTGTCCACATGGACTATCTACAGGAGATTAAGGTGTTCTCACACCCTTTGGAAAGCTTTTCCCCCCCATAATCTTCCACATACACAACTAATTCAAATTCAGAGAAAGGAAGCTTTCCTCTCACCCACTTTGAAAATAACATATGCCCAAATCATATTTTCCAGAAGCTTCTTTATAATCAAGATTGAACAACTGAACATTGCACTGCCATAGTTGCCTGTCGCTCTATTGGGAACGGCGAGAACGACACAGACTCTCTTGTGAGTTGAACAGGAGAGTTCTTTCTCTCCCTCTCTAGGTTTATTACTTCAGATCTTCTTTTATAGACAGATAGGTAAAAGTACAGAAAAGTAAAACTCTTATTGGTTAGTAAACTAACTCATCACCATCATTGGTCAGTGAGGTACACCACCCCTTGACCTTCTCTTGCAAGAAAACAAGAAACTGACAAACAGCACCTGCAAGGCTGTCTTCTATCTCTGAGGATTGTTTTAATTCCTCCTTATGATTGATTTCCCAGGCCACTTTCTCAGGCAAGACTGAGAAAGTTATGCGGCCTGCTATTCCACAGGCACTGTGCTCCCTCCTTTTGCTCATAATTAGCATCCATAGTTGCCTGATGAGCTGGGAAAAATACACTGCCTTTTTGCTTTCCTTCTTTCTTGTGCGTGGAATACATAATTCTTGGTCTCACCACAAAATGGCACCTGGAAATACTGCAATTACTGTCTATCACAAAGTGGTCTTTCCACTCTGTGCTGTTTGCAAAGAAGTTCACTGGGAATTTAAACCAATTTTCCTTGACTTATGTGCTCCAGAAGTATTTCTGTTTGCCACAGACTGGTTATGCTGAGTTGCTACATTTCAAGACCAGACACGAGTGCATGACTAGCAGTGCAGGCAGCTGGTGCATGTTCCACAGCTGTGTTCCTCCTGTCACATTTAGGGGGTGATCAGAGGAGTATACTCAGAGGAGTATAGCTTAAGCTCAATTCCATCATCCTGATGGTGGGGCCACCATCCTTCTAAAAGCCCTGTTCTCAGGTATTACTCACAGAATTGGGTAATTCCACAACTAGAGGATGCTGAGTAAGGCAAGATGTATCAGTTGTCAGACTGACTTTCTAGAAGCTTCATAACCAGCACGTACTTTTATTTCTGCCTCGCCTTGAAAAATGCCTTTCTGAATTTCTGTTTTGTTCATCAAGGTGCAAGAGAAGACTTTTGTTGCAGTTGGACATGAAGTAGAAGTGTGAATTCAATCACAGCAGCCAGAACAAGTGCTCAGGAAAAGCTTCATTTTCTGAACTTTTCAGCTTTTTATAGGGTATTACGATATAGGTTTAACATGACTGGTAAAGGGAACATCACCTCTCTGTCCCATTGGTGGGACAAGAGAAAAACACACTAATCACAGCTGTACAGAACTGTTTTGAGAAAAAGAAATTATTTACAAAAATAGTCCTTGAGCAAGAGATGTTCTCAAGAGACTTTCCCTTGGGAACAGATCAGCCACTGACAGGCTGGAACTCTCTCAGACTCAGGTCCACAGACTTTGTCTCTGTCTAGAGGTGGGCATGGGGGAAAAGCTATCATGTCTGCACTACTCCCTCTACAACCAGGAACACCTCTGGCCCTCTGAAGAGACAAGCATAGAAAATTTAACTGAGTTTATCATGGAAGTGGCATGGGTTTCTTTTTGTTCTGGGCTGCATCTAAGTTGCCACTGCCACAACTTTCTCACTAAGTTTCTTCTCTTTATTTGTTAGTTTGCAATTGAAGACAAAACATCCATCTTCAATAGTCCCATCATGGCACAGGGTCACACACTAAGGTACAGTGTATGTACTCATGTTCTCATTACCCCAGGACCTACATCCACCATCAGGCTGACATTACAGCAGCAGCAGATCTGGCAGCACTCCAGTGTGGTGAGTCTTGCTGGAGACACTACCACAACAAGACCCAAGACAAAAAGACAGGACAAAACGGGACAGACCAGAGGAGCTGACGGCTCAATACTACAGACCACACTGTTCCTATTTTCCTGTCAAATTACTTTGATAAAGTTTGACTCTGAAAAAATGAAGTGTATAAAGTAGGCAAAGTGGACTACGTAAGCTATCTTCACATAAATGTTGAAGATGAGGATCAGGATGATGGGATTTATCTGTTGTGATGTGGTCTGAAATCCATATGGCAATATTTTGGGGATTAAATGTGAGATTGTGCTTAGGAAATAGTGCCCAGCAAGGCAAAACCTCTCCTGCAGATACTAAGGATAACAGGAAGGGCTTCTACAGGCATGTGGAAAGCAAAAGAAAGACTAGGGATAATGTGGGCCCTATCTGGAAGAAAAGAGGAGACCTGGCTACCCTGGACAAAGAGAAGGCTAGGGTTCTCAATGACTTCTGTGCCTCTGCCTTCAATGGCAAGTGCTCCAGCCATGCCACCCAAGTCATGAAAGGCAGATGCAGGGACTGGGAGGAAGAAGATCCTGAGCCCCCTGTAGGAGACAACCAGGTTTGAGACCATCTGAGGAACCTGAATGTGCACAAGTCATGGGACCCAGTGAAGTTTATCCGTGTGTCCTGAGGGAACTGACAGATAAAACTGCTGAGCCACTATCCATCATTTTTAAAAATTGTGTCAGTCAGATGAAGTCCTTGATGACTGGAAAAAGGGGAATATAATTCTCATTTTCAGAAAGGAGAAAGTGCAAGACCCAGGGAACTACTGACCAGTCAGTTTCACCTCTGTGCCAGGCAAGGTTATGGAGCAGATTCTACTGGAAACTATGCTAAGGTATCTGGCCAACAAAGACCATTTTGACTGGTAACAGCCAAAATGGTTTTACAAGGGGAAAATCACACCTAACTAATCTGCTGACCTTCCATGACAGGGCTACAGCATTGGTGGACAGAGGCAGAGCAACTGACATTGCCTAGCTGGACTAAGTGCAAAATGTTTCACATTCCTGCAAAACATCCTTGTCTCCAGATTGGAGAAAGAGGGATTTGATGAATGGACCACTCTGTGGATAAAGAACTGGCTGGATGGCCACGCACACAGAGTTTTGGTCAATGGCTCGTTGTCCACATGGAGACCTGTGATAAGTGGTGTCCCTCAGGGGTCCATACTGGGGCCGATACTGTTCAACATCTTTGTTGGCGACATGGAGAGCAGGACCAAGTGCACCCTCAGCAAGTTCACTGATGGCACCAGGTTGTGTGGTGCAGTTGACACGATGGAGAGAAGGGATACTGACATCCAGAGGGACCTTGACAGACTTGAGATGTGGGCTGAAGCAAAACTCATGAAGTTCAACAAGGCAAAGCACAACATCCTACACCTCAGTCACTGCAATCCCAGACACACCAATGGGTTGGGCAGAGACATGATTGAGAAAAGCCCTGCTAAGAAAGACTTGGGAGTGACAGGTGATGAAAAACTCCACATAAGCCAGCTGTGTGTGCTCACAGCCCAGAAAGCCAATCGAATCCTGGGCTGCATGGAATGTGACCAGAGGGTCAAAGGAGGTGATTCTGCCCCAACACTCTGCTCATGTGAGATCCTACCCAGAGTGCTGCATTCAGTTCTAGTGTCTCCAACATGAGAAGGACACCAAACTGTTGGAGCAAGTCCAGAGGAGGGCCATGAAGTTGTAAGAGGACTGGAGCACCTTCCCTAAAACACAGGCTGAGAAAACCGAGGCTTTTCAGCCTGGAGAAGGTTGCATGGAGACCTCATGGCAAACTTCCAGTACCTGAAAGGGACCTACAGGGAAGCTGGAGACTTTTCATCAGGAACTGCAATGATAGGACAAGAAGTAATGAGTACAAATTGAAAACCAGAAAATTTAGGTTAGATATTAGGAAGAAATTATATACTGTGAGTGTGGTGA